TCAGTAAGTCTTATCATTGATGTTTCTATCTCTCCCTCTTCCTTCCTCTCTGATATCAAGAAAGATATATTTAAAAAAGAAAAAGCAAAGAAGGGATAGTACTTCCTTCCGGGCAGGCTGCTAGGAGGGTTCAGTGGGTGATGCAGCAGCTGTGGGCTGAGTCCGCCCTGAGATGACGGCTCGCACCCTTTCCCATTTGGGCACAGTGGTCTTAGACCCCAGATCTTGCTTTTTCAGGCCTGCCCCTCCTTGTTTGAGACCTTCTGGAACCTGCCTGCCACAGAATAGGTGCACATTCTGCTCCCTGCCTCAATGTCTCCTGGGAGTGAGGAAACTTGGGGCTGGCTGGGAACTGTTCTCTGCTGGGTCCCCTGTCCCTGCCCCACCACGGAGAAGTCCATCTTGGCTGGATCCAGAGGGAAGGCTGCCAGCTGCCCTCCTGTGACCTTCCTGGGCCTGGTTCCCCTTCCAGCTGCACCCCTGCCATAGGCACCCAGAGTCTGACCCTCCCTTTGGGCAGGAAAACGGATTTAGAGCTCCCACTCCAACAGTCCCTCCTTCCCTGCTCCCTGCTCCCCGGGCTCGGTCCGGGTCCTGGCTGTGAGGGTTACAGGAGGTCAGGGAAGGGGTTCTTGTAGCAAGTCTATGGCTGACAGCATTGCCTGGTTACTGGATGTGGAAATCTACCTCCACCTGCATTCGGTCCCAACAAAGCCTTTGTGTGATTCAGAAGTTGGGTGCACATGGGAGAGATTAGCAAGTAGGTTCTAGAAGGTGCAGAGCATGTGGTTGAGACACCCAGAGGGCCAGCCTCTCTTTCTGACCCGTCTCTGCGGAGCTGCTTCCTTGCCTGTTGCTTCCTGGCCCCTGGGCAGTTCTCTCCTTCCCCTTCCCTGGCTTAGAAGACACCCCCCCCCCCTTCACCCCCACTCCCGCCCCTCCATAGCCGGCCCGGCTTAAGGTTCACCAACCCCAAGTCCTTTGGCCTGCTCTGAGCTTACCTCCATTGAACCTTCTCTTCCGATCTCACCCTGCATCTCATATCTTCTCGGTAAGACTGCAAATTATTTGAAAACAAAGCCTCTTTTCTGGAGTAAGGATGAGGAAATACGGATTGAAGGGCACAAGTGTGCTGATGGAGACAGAGTGTCTGCCATCGGGGCTGCCTGGCAAACCCCAGGCCCCCAGGAGCTCAGTTTCTCTCTGTTGCCCACGGATGCCATGGTCAGCTGAGCCAGGCTTGTGGGCTCAGGTGACCAGGGTGCCTGATGGCCTGCCTTCCTCCTCTGAGTTGTAAATTCCCTCCTCTTCTCTCCCAGGTTAGAGAAAGCCCACCCCAGCGAGCTGGCCACAGGAGCTGGTTCTGGAGAGCAGCTGGGTGTAGTGGCTGAGTCACAGAGATCTGAGTTCTAATCCTGGTCCTCCCCACTTCCCAGCTGATGGCTTTGGGCAGGCTGTTTAACCTCTCTGAGCCTCAGCTAGCTTGCCTGAGAAAAGGGAATCATTTCTGTCTCCATATGGTTGTCGGGAGATTGTATGCAAAACCCTCAGCACAGCAGAGCGTGGCACATAGGACGTGTTCAGTAAATAAGCCGCTCATCCCTTCAGCCCCAGCACTCTCCAGCCTCCACTTTCTTTACTAGTCTTGTCTCCACTTGGACCGAGAGAGTCCTGACTTTTGCTTATTTTTCTGGTGCACACCCAGTGGGAATCCCAGGCCAAGATGTGATGCCGAACCCTAACCTGGGGGCCTTGGCAGACCACCTTGAACTTGGCTGTGTCATGGCAGCAAGGAGACCAGACACACTGTTCTTTTCTGCCCGGTGGGTGTATCTTGGAGCTGTCACGCTTGTGCCCACTGCCATGCGAAGCAATTCCTGCTCCCCTGCGCTGCCTCTCTGGCCTCCGCTCTGGCCTTTGGGTGCACAGCCAGGCTGGAGCCTGTCAGGGGGCTGCCTGTGTGTGTTCCAGGGGGCTGGGGCGGGCCTCTCAGGTAGCTGCATTTATTGGCTCTGGCACCACTTGGCACTGTAAGTAGAACCCATGTGCCAGGCGGCTTCCGTAGTTCCGGTTGGACATAGTAGCCCTCACTCACCTCCTCCTTGGCCTGCTCAGGGCCTCATGGTAGGTCCAGCTGGATGTAAGCCCTGAGGCCCTTATTCACAGTGGACAGGGGTGAGTGCAGATGAGCCTGCCAGGGCCCCAGAGGCAGGCCGGACCAGGAGACTTGGCATGGCAGAGCCAACCCCACCTCTACTTCTCAGAACTACTTTTTTTTTAAATTGATATATTTTATTGATTTTTTTACAGAGAGGAAGGGAGAGGGATAGAGAGTTAGAAACATCGATGAGAAAGAGACATCGATCAGCTGCCTCCTGCACACCCCCTACTGGGGATGTGCCCACAACCAAGGTACATGCCCTTGACCGGAATCGAACCTGGGACCTTTCAGTTCGCAGACCAATGCTCTATCCACTTAGCCAAACAGGCTTCGGTGAGAACTACTTTGTTTTTATTATCCTTACTTAGAACAAGAAAAGACCAGACTGTCTCATTGGCAAACCCCGCTCCTATCACAGCCTCAAAACGATTCTTCCATTCTTGTACCCTAGGCCATTTTTTAAAATTTGTTTTCCGTCTTCCTCTCCTGCATATCCTTTGGTGGGATCTGTGTAACTAATCCAGTGGTTTGTTGTGTGTGTGTGTGTGTGTGTGTGTGTGTGTGTGTTTTAATTTGATAATGCTTTAATTTCATCATGGTTCTTTAAAAATAGTGTGCAGGGCCCAGGATTCTAGGTTGACGTTTTTTTGTCTTAGTGTTTTGAGGGAGCCACTTCAGTGTCTCCCGTGCTACTGTTGAAAACCTGTCCTCACTCTCTGGTCGTGCCTCGGTGAGCGATCTGCCTTCTCTCTTGCTGCTTATGAGATTTTCTCTTTGGCTGGTGTGAGCTTGGAGAGAAGTCCCCAAGAGACTGGTCACCATCTGTCCCCAGGAGTGGAGCATTTGGCCTGCTGAGTGTGGGGACAGAAGTGAGTAACATGGCAAGATTCTGGCAGCAATTTGCCTGGTCCATTTTGGAGACAGGTGAAGGCAGGAGGGAAATGGTGTTGGGTACTTCCTAATGCCAGAGGCCCTGCAGATGTACCCCTCCCCCTAAATGTCCCAGTGGCCACTCCCTCTCCCTCCCCTGGGAGGCTGGTGGATTTACATGTGTCTGTGTGGGGCACAGATGAGGCTGTGTAGAGTGTGGGTTGCCCATGACCCATCCTTGGCCTTCATGCCTCTAGGGCATGTCAGGCAGGTCTGAGACACTGACCCCGCCCCCTTGTAGAAGGAAGACCGTGTCCCAGTGCTGGAGGGGCTGAGATGTTGAAGTTATTTAAAAGCCATTCTGTTGCAGATAAATGATAATTTATTCAGATCAGCAAAGAATCATTAGGTTGGAATTCTGTTAGGGAGAACATGTGTGTGCGGCTGATTGGATCTCACATTTCCTACCCCTCAGCTCTAGGATAAGTCAGGAGCAGGTGGGTTGAGAAGGACATCATCACTTTATGCATTTGAACACTTGGCTTCCATGATGCTGGGGAGGAGAGGAGGGTGGAAGGAAGCACCGCCAGCCATTGGACTTCCCGTCATTCCCTGTGGTGGGGATTTGGGGCATCTGCTGTCCCACAGTGGGTAGCAATCTTTGATCACAGTTGGGTCCAGACGTGGATGCCAGGCAGACCCTGGTGGAAGCCTGGTGCTCACAGCTCTTAAGACTGCATGCTCATGAGTTGGGGCAGCTGCCAGTTCTGGGCACGGAGAGAGTGGGCGGGGGCTCTGTGATGCCTGCAACTTTAGCTGCTGCAGCCCTGCACCCACAGCCGCCTCTGTCCTTGGCTGTTCCAGGAGGGGCGTGTCAGCACAGGAGCAGGCCTCCAGTCCCCCTCCCGGCTCTCCCTTCCCCGAGGGACTCTCACATGTCAGGTTGGCCTCGATACACCTCTCCATTTGGTGGACAGCAGTTCCTTTGTGGGTTGTAGGCTCATTACTTTGCTCATGAATTAAAGGGCATGGAGAGACGGAAGTGGTGAGAACAGGGGAGTGGAGAAGACTACAATTTTTGATCAATTGTGCAAGCATTGTCCCCTGGGTCCCTGGGCTATGGGACAAGGGAGCTATCCAATGCAGAGCTCCTCAAACTTGGCCATGCCTGAGAAGCACGGGGGAGCGTGTTCAAATGCAGACCTTGACTTGGGAGTGGGCCTGAGACTCTGCATTTCTGATGAACTCCCATGTTACGTTGCTGCTGGTCCAGAGTCCTAGCGCGCTTCCGCCTGGATTTGGCCTGGAGGAGCGCCCAGGCACCACAGGGCAGAGGAACGATCCCAGTGGCGCTTGGAAAGGCACACAGGATGTGAGAAGGAGCGACCTGACCCAGATGCATCCCAGAAGGGCTCTTCAGAGATGTGGAAAGATGAGAGCCTTCATCAGGGTGCCTGAGACCAGGCCCCTCACACTTTGGCTCTGAGGAGAGAGCTCGTAGTTGGAATCAGAATTTGAATACCAGCTCTGTTTGCTGCATGACCTTGGGCAGGTCATTGTGCCTCTCTCTGCCTCGGTTTCTTAATCTGTAAAGTAGGGGTAAGCATGCCTGCTCAGCTCTAGCTGGTTTGGCTCAGTGAATAGAGTGTCGGCCTGCAGACGGAAGGGTCCCGGGTTTGATTCCGCCCAAGGGCACATGCCCGGGTTGTGGGCTCGATCCCCAGTAAGGGGCGTGCAAGAGGCAGCCGATCAATGATTCTCTCTCATCACTGATGTTTCTCTCTCTATATCCTTCCTTCCTCTCTGAAATCAATATATATTTGATTTTTATCAAATGCCTGCTCAAAAGGCCATGGTGAGGATGAAATGGGAGAAGGTGTGTCAGGTATCTGGCCCAGTACCTGTTTCATAGAAGGCCCTTCATAACCCTTTATGTCCCCTAAAACTGCGCTCTCTTCTCTCCTTGCAGGTGAATGAAATTTACCACGACGAGTCCCTGGGGACGCACATTAACATTGCCCTTGTCCGCTTGATCATGGTTGGCTACCGACAAGTAAGCCCCCTGTCAGCAGGAAGGCTCTGGAAAGAGAAGGGGTGTGGGGCCATTACATCGTCCCAGCGATGGTGTCAGGAGGGGGCTGTGCCAGGAGGCTTCAGTGGCAGAGGCATTGGGGATGGTGGGCAGGGACTCCTGGGTTCCCTCCGGTATGTTATATGGACCATCCTTTATCCTTAAAGCTGAGGGTCCCTCCCCTGGAGGACTGATGGGGAAAGTGGGGCTTGGAGAGGGGCCGTGACCAAGCAGGTCCTGCTGTGGTTGAGCTGTGGGCCTGGGCTCTGCCATCGTAGACCAGATGCTCATTCTCCCCTAAATGGGGGTAGCAACACATGTTCTTCCAGGGGCTTTTGTGAAGATTACATAACAGTGAATATATTAGAGGAAACGCTCAGAGCCACCTGCCTGCGGGTCAGCTGAGGGATTAGAGGTCATGTGTGACCAGTTCTTAGCAGACAGGTGTCCCTGTGCAGGGCTTGGTGCATGAACATTCCCTAAAGTAGGAGGGAATGCCAGCAGCAGCCAGAGTCAGGGACCTCGGGGCAGCTAGGGACCTTGTGACAGGCACTGCAGTCCCGTGGGCCTCAGAGTTCTCCTCTGCCAGTGGGAGGGGGGTGTCGGGTACTCCCTGCGGTCTGGGGGCTCCAACCCACCACTCTGCTGTTGGTACTCTCTGGCCCGCAGTCCCTGAGCCTGATTGAGCGTGGGAACCCCTCCCGCAGCCTGGAGCAGGTGTGCCGCTGGGCCCACTCTCAGCAGCGCCAGGACCCAGGCCACGCAGAGCACCACGACCACGTCATCTTCCTCACCCGGCAGGACTTTGGGCCCTCAGGTATGCAAGGTACTGTGCTCGCCTGGGCCAGGTGCGTGCAGTGCCAGCCACAGGCTGAGGCTCCGGGCTGCGCCCGCTCTGGGGCCACCCTCGGAAGTCAGGGGCCAGGGCCCCGTCAGCAAAGAGGCCCATGGGACTTGAGAGACAGGACCTGGACGTACAGGTGGGCAAGCTTGGCAAGGATTTCTTGAGGGTCAGAAGAAGTGAAGGGGTCCCCACTTTGGCCCCTGCTATCCTGGTTGAGCCTGCAGGTGGCTCTGTGCTTGATATCATCTGCCCTCACTGTATTCATCCATCCTATCCAAACTCGTGGGCACCTAGGGGGGCTCCTATGGGCTTTGGGAAGGAAGTACATGCTCCGCCCGCAGCTGCACGGCTCTCGAGCTCAATGGCCCAAGCTCACTTCACCTCCCTGCGTCCTCCCCACAGCAGAATGGGAAAAACTGGAGCGTTTGCCTTCCTCCTTTCCAGGGCTGCTGGAAGGGCTGAGGGTGCATGAAATGTCTGCACAGAGTGTGACTCTAACGCTCTGCGAACACACGGAGCCTTGACCACCCCCAGTTTTCCATGTGGGGGAGCTGAGGCACCGGTTGTGCAGAGGCTTGCCTGTGTCCTTGCTTTTCAGAGGAGGCAGATCTGAGACTCGGCCTGGCTATCTAGGCTCCGAGTTGAGAGCTTTCTGGTTTTTTTTTGATTTGATGCTAGAAGTGCATCTGACAGCCATGCCTCTGCCAAAGAGCTCCTTGTCTGAATCCCTGAAGCCCCAAATGTGGGCTTTCAAACACATACAGATACACATACACACACGTATAAACATACAGACACACATGTACAGGCCTACACACAAACAGCACAGATATACGTGCACAGATACATGTATACGCAGACAGGAACTTATGCATACACATAAACACATGTACAGACACATTGACACATAGAGACACATGTATACAGACACACACATATACCTAGACACATGTGTACCCTGCACCCCAAGTACATCACCGACCTTCAGGATAATGGAGGCCTCAGGAATATCCTTCCCACCGCCACATCTCATTATTTATCGCCAGCCCCCCACCACCTCAGATAAAAGAGCACTTCAGCAGCTCTAAGGACAGGGCCTACTGTCTCATAGCTGTAGGCCCAGGCAGGGAGCACTCTCTCCTGTCCCTCCTCCGAGGCCTTCCCCAGCCACATCCATGTCCCAGCCCGGGCTAGGCCCCAGAGGAGGCTGGGAAGCAGGCCCCTTACACCATAGGGCTTTGCCCACAATTGCTGTTTATTTGCTGGCACATCCCAGCCCCACTGCAATGCCCATGGCCACCCAAAGCCTGCACAGCCGTGCCTGCTCCGTCACTTGTGTTCTCTCCACCACGTGCTCTTTCCCTGACCCATGGGAATTGTCTCACCTTCTTCCAGGCTCAGCTCTGTGCCGCCGGAGGCATCCCTCAGGCCCTTCAGTTGAAGCCATCCCCTTCCTCAGATCCCCCTGCACGCCCCCTGTGTTCCTCGAACTCTGGCCCTGCAGGCCACACCTAAGCTAACCTCTTCCCCCCCCCCCCCCCCACCCCCAGAGTCTGCCTGCTAAGCCACCTGCTCCTTAATGTGTGGGTGTGTGGCAGAGAGGAGAAGGGGGGGGTTTGGATCTGATTCCTCTGTTTTCCCCATAGAATCTAACACAGTGCACCCCTAGCCCCCCATTGAAAGAGACTTATTTGTTAAATGTCCAGCTGACTGGCTGGCTGGAGGGACATGGAAGTCAGGTGTGAGCAGGTTTGGGCCTGTCTGGAAACCCCACTGGCCGGCTAGAGGATGGCCGACAGGTACGGGGAGGGCGCAGCCAAGAGAGAAGCCGTACAGCCTTGGATATGGGGCAGCTGGTCCAGGTTGCTCTCCTGCAGGTGGGACTTCACAAGGATGCTTCCTGCTCCAGGGACCTGTAGCAGTGGCCAGGCCAGAATGGCCTGTGGGCCTGCAGGGCCTGCTCGGCACGTCTTATCTCACCGTGCATCACTTCTCTCTCTGCCCCCTCCCCTCCCCACAGGGTATGCACCTGTCACGGGCATGTGCCACCCCCTGAGAAGCTGCGCCCTTAACCACGAGGATGGCTTCTCTTCCGCCTTCGTGGTGGCCCACGAGACCGGTCATGTGTAAGTGGCACCGAGACGGCGAGCTCTGAGGTGGTCTGTGGGTGTGGGAGGCTTTGCCCCAGATCAGGCTCCGGTGCCAGTGTTTCGGGAGATGCCAGAGGAGCTGCCCTCAGTGAGGCTCTGCCCTGAGTCTGGGGACAGCCCAGGGGCCCAGACAGCAATTCTGGGCCTGCCTAAGGGATGGGGGACCAGATGTGGCCCTGTCTTTGAGAAGCTCAATGTCAGTGTCCCATCGATAGGCTGTGGTGAGCGTCTGGGTGGTCTCGATCCACACTCCCCTCCCCCCAATTCCATTCACACTTTGAGGCCCTTTGAGACCAGTTCCACACTGTGCTCCGCTGTAACAGGCTTGCTTGATCTTTGAGCCTGGACTTTGTGGAGAGCGTACTCATTCATTCATTCATTAATTCACCCTATATTTCTGGAGTGGCTACCATCTGCCAGGCCCAGTTCTAGGAGTGGGGCCTCCGTGGAGAACAGGACAGAGAAACACACGAGAAGCTACATTCTGGGAGAAAGCCAATCAGCTCTATCTGATATGTCAGGTGGTGACCTGCACGTGCCACCATCATGCCTCCCAGCCATGTCTGCCCATAGGTTCACACTCATCAGCCCACACAGAGGGAGGGCTGATCCTGCAGTCTGAGGGTCGTGGGAAGGAGCGGGGTGGGCCTGTCCTAGGGGCTGGGTGTGCCATCCACAGTCTCTGTACTCCTCTCTGCATCCACCCTGCCAGCACAGGAGCCCATGCAAATTCCATCCCAGCTCTGCCACCCGGGCAGGTGGTACCTACTCTCTGGTCCTTGGTTTCCTCGTCTGCAACACGGAGGCTGGCATCAGAGCCACCTCGGAGGTCCCTTCCTGCACGGGAAGCTGATGGTTCCACGCATTCTGGAGCCAGGAAACTATCTTCCTTTTAGCGGGGAGGAGGGAAGGAGAGGCAGGGAATGTTCCCTCTTCACTGGTCAGAGGCCTCTGCATGTGGAGGGGTATAAGGCAGGAGGACCGTGTGTCTGTCTAGTGGTCAAGGCCACATGCAGCCTCTTGCAAGTCTCTAAGAATTGAGAACCTTTGGGCTTTGGCGTTAAATATTAAGTGTGAAGAGCAAACTTGGAAATGTAAGCTGCCCTGTGGTAGGTGCATAGCATCGGCAAAGCTCTGTGCTGAGTACTGTGGGGTCTTGGAGAAGCTTGAGAGGCTGGCACAAGCAGCTCAGCCGGTGAGGTTGAAACTGAACTGAATGAGGCCTGGCCTTGCACTTGGAGGCCAAGGCCTGGTGGGGAGATAGTAGTGGAGGCACAGGCAGACTCTGCTGGGGGACGTCAGCCCATGGGCTGGGCAGCCAGGGAGGGTGTCCTGGGCTGAGTGTCCGAGAGTAGAAATCAGGGAAGAATGAGTCTGGCCTTGTTGAGGGACAGAGTGGACCCTCAGCTTCCACCCAGAGAGATGGTCCTCCCCACTGCCTGTTTGAGAAACAGGCCAGGAGCACAGTCTGAAGCCTGGTCAGGGCAGCGTTCCCACCGCTGGCCCCCCCTCCCCCCATCTTCCCAGGGGTGGGCTCCCGGGGCGTGACTCGAGGCTGCCCTCTGTTCCCCCTCCCTAGGCTGGGCATGGAGCATGACGGTCAGGGCAACGGCTGTGCCGATGAGACCAGCCTGGGCAGCGTCATGGCCCCCCTGGTGCAGGCTGCCTTCCACCGCTTCCACTGGTCCCGCTGCAGCAAGCTGGAGCTCAGCCGCTACCTTCCGTACGTCACCTCCGCCTCTGGGGCCCAGGATCGGGGAGCACGCGGCCTGCCACCTCATCCCCCCCCCCCCCCCCGAGTCATCTCCCTTCCCAATGCCGTGCCACCTGAAGCACACTCAATCCACAGCCTCGCTGGCTAGCGTCTGGTTAGCTGTCCCAAATCCAGGGGCATGGAGGCCAGTACAAGTGCTAGACTTGCGAGTGCGATGCCGAGAATGGGCACAGAGGAGATTTGGGTGGGACAGGTATGGGCAGACATACTGCCCTAACCTCGCTGGCTTTTTCCTCCTTCAGGGCAGTGAGCCCTCCAACTGCCCAGGAGCCACCCCTTCATCTTGGCCTTGGCGTGTTCCTCTAACTCAGGCAAAACTGGCTTGTACGGTAGCCACAAGCTGGGCTCTAACCCCGCCCTGGGTGCCCGTGCCCCGGAGCACCCCAGCCACGGTCGGTGGACACGAGGCCCCGTGTGCGATGAGACACCGCGCAGGGCAGAGGGCTGGACCGCTGCCAGCCTTCCTGCCCCGTGAGCCTGAGGGTTCCCGCGCCAGCCTGGCTCACCACCTGTCTTCGCCCACAGCTCCTACGACTGCCTCCTGGACGACCCCTTTGCACCTGCCTGGCCCCAGCCCCCGGAGCTGCCCGGCACCGACTACTCCATGGACGAGCAGTGCCGCTTCGACTTTGGCACCGGGTACCACACCTGCTCCGCGGTGAGTTCCCTCTGGCCTCTGCCTGCCGGTTTGTCCGGACCGTGTCCTTCTGTGACCCGGGCTGGTCATTCACAGGACATCTGTTGCCCAGCTGGGCCGGTTATTGTCTGGAGCTTGGGCCAAAGGTTCAGTTCCATCAGGGAGATTCAGGACGACCAGGCTCTGTCACCTTCTGCTACCTTCCCACCACCCAGCCCCAGGTGGAGGGGTGGGCGTGGGCAGTGGCTGGAGAATACGTTAGCCCCGGGGAAGATGGGATAGTCACTCACCAGGGCTCTGGCTCAGAGCAGGGGACAGCCCAGGGCAGGGGCTTTCTGAGGGATCAGGCCTTGGTAACTCACTGAGCTGAGAGCCTCACCCCCCCCCATCCCCATCCAGGAATGCAGCCCTCCCCCCCCTCCCACTGCCCCCCGGCCCTGCAGGACCAGAAGGCCCTGCACATGGTCACTTCCTCACTGCCCAGGCCACACTGGGACACGTGGTCTCTGCTTTGGAGTGAACACACAGCCTAGTTTATGGGGTTTTAATGCCCAACGGCTGTATTTGTAAGGACGGTTGTCTGGCTGGTGGGGGTAATAGGAGAGAAAAGGAAGTTGGGACATAGTGACAATCAGAAACACACAGTTGCCAGGCTGTGGCATGACTGGGTGAGACTGGAGGGAGGTGGCAGTCCAGCCTTGTCTGGGCTGGGTGGCAAGGCGCACGGCTCAGGGGCACGGTGGGCACAGCCTCCCTAGAGTCTCAAACCCTAATCCCCACTCAGTGGCAAAGGCCGAGAGGGAGGCGTGGGAGGGAGACGGGAGTGCGGGCTGTGGCTGGCCCTGCTGGGTGCCCTGTGGGAGAGAGGAGGGGTGAGTGGAGGCTGCTGGCACCTGGGGAAGGTTGGGCTGGAGAGTCTGTGGGGCTCTGGCCGGACAGGCTCCTCCTGCCTCCCAGCTGCCACCGCTCCCTCCTCTCTGTCACTGCCCTTTGCCCCCTGGTCAGAGCTGGGGAGCCAGTCCAGCCGGGTGACCCCATGCCCTTTGCCACGCAGTTCACGACCTCTGAGCCCTGTAAGCAGCTGTGGTGCAGCCACCCTGACAACCCGTACTTCTGCAAGACCAAGAAGGGGCCCCCGCTGGACGGGACCGAGTGTGCGCCAGGCAAGGTACCTGCAGCGGGAGCGACTTCTGGGGTCAGCCCAGGGGAGCCCCTGCCTCCTCGCCAAGTGTGTAATGAGTGTGTGTGTGTGGGGGGGGGGAGGTGAGGTGTAAGAGAACAGATGGGAGGCCTCACATGAACTCCTGCACATTCACATCCCACACCACAGCCTTTGCTTCTCTAGTTGGCAGAATTTGGCTTCACCTCATAGTCCACCAGGCGGAAATGCTTGCTCCCATTTCACAGATGAGGAGAGTGAGGCCCAGGCAAGTTAAGGAACTTGTGGAGGTCACACAGGGAGTGATTAGCAGAGAAGGGATGAAGGGAGGACTCCAGGTGTCCTGCCTACTGTCCCCCCAGGATGTTTCTCCCACACACCCCCCCCCAACCCAACAAACCTGACCTTTCATGTATTTTCTTCCTGTGTGTTTGCTCCCGCATGCATTGGAATGGGCCAGGGCTTCCTCTGGCAGAGGGACCCCATGGTCAGGTGCGGGAGCCCTGAGCTGGGTTCTGACGCCCACCTCTGCTCTATGGCTGGCTCTGCTGGAATCTTCGGGTGTGACCGTGGGCCATTTACTGAACTTCTCTGGACCCTACTGAGTCCTGACCACACATGCTGCCCGTCTTCGTGTGTTTTGGAAGTTACTGATCATGTCAGAGCACGTGAGAGCTCGGAAGAAACAAGACGTTGAGAGAGGTGTGATGATTACTCAGCCTCAGCTGTGAACACCTTCTCACTCCCATCCCCACCCCAGCATCAGCCTGTCCTCTGTCCTCTGCCCTCACCAGGCTCCTCCCGCTCCCATCTGGGGCCTCCCTTAGCCCACCAGGCTCCCCGCCCGGCAGGCTGTTATTCCGGAGACAGTATGTCTCCTCCACATGTCACCATCGTTCCAGGCCCTCTCCTGTCACTGTGTCACATAACAGTTCATCAGTGGTTCTCAATTTTGGCCGCAATTAGAACCATCTGGGGAGTTTTAAAAGTCCCCACCCCCAGAGCAGGGAGTGACAGCCTCTGGGACGAGCTCTCGCTGGGGCGATGGAAACTCTCTAACATTGGGTTATGCTGACGGTTGCACAACGCTGCAACTTTGTGAACCTTCATTGAATTGTACACTTGAAGAGAGCGCATTTTATGGTTTGGGGAGAACACATCTTGTTATGGCTTCTTTGAGAAACCCCTTCCCCTAGGGATTCTGATTCCGTTGGCCTGGGGCACAGCCAAGGCATGGGGGTTTTGAAGGTCCCAGGTGACTCCAAGGCTGAGAACCGCCGAGGTACCTGTGGAAGGAGCCCGGAGAGCTCTGCTGTATTTCTTCCCGGTGGCCTTAGAGGAGAAGGCAGGGGGGTTTGTGGCCGAGCCTCCTCTGTGCCTGGCCCTGTGCTGAGGCCTCTGTAGGTGTTACTGCCTTCAGTCCTTAGAACAGCCCACTGAACAGAGGAGGAGAGGGGGGCGCGGCGAGGAGAAGTTACACCAGAGCACACACAGCTGGTCGCGGCCGAGCTGGGATTCAAACCCAGGCCTCTCGGACTCCATGCATGGATGGGTCTCCCCTGGATGGCGATTTCGAGGTAGCGAGCCACGATGGACTCTGGATCGTCCAGTGCAGGAAGACTGTCTTCTCTTCCTTAGCAGACCTCGGTTTATCCTGGGTCGGTGAGCAAATAATTGCATAGTCATCATCGTCATTAGTAGTGTGGTTTGCCATTTCTGGAGGGCTGTGTGTGCCAGGTGCCATCTCCACGGTGGCCCTGGGCTGGTGGGCGCTGACACTTCCCTGCGTGGGACAGTTGAGGAAGCGACTCAGAAAGGGTCACTGGGCTCATAGCGCTGGTGGGATTCTGTGTAACCTGAGGCTTGTGCTCCTGATGGCCCTTTCTCTGGGTTCACCCGTGCTGCCCACCAGCTGTGCCACGTGCCTAGTTGGGCAGCCTCCGTGCAGGGCTAGATGGCATGGCCCCCGAGTGACCTTGTGTCCTCTGCTCCGTCCCAGTGGTGCTTCAAAGGTCACTGCATATGGAAGTCGCCAGAGCAGACTTACGGCCAGGATGGCGGCTGGAGCTCCTGGACCAACTTCGGGTCCTGTTCGCGGTCGTGCGGGGGCGGAGTGCGATCCCGCAGCCGGAGCTGTGACAATCCCTAGTGAGTATGCTTCGCTGGGGCGGGCGCACCAGGGTCCCCTCTCCTTAGGCCCGAGGGGCTTGGAGGGAAGGCAGTGGGGCGCGGGCACAGAGAGAAGGACCTCTGCAGGGAGCTGTGTATTTGATGGTGAGGACCCACCATGTGGGTGGGGGAGGAGCCCTCCCACCTGGGCTGACATCGCCCACGGGGTCTGACATCTGATGAACCAGCCATTTTCAAACGCGTGTGCAGTTCTCCCTGGGAGTCTGGGGGGCCCAAGACTCTAAGCCCTCCTGTGACCCTGAGCTAACCTCGGAGAAAACACTGGTCTAAATTGCTTAGTCATCACGTCTCGGGAGAATACACTCCCCAAGTTGGTTTTCTACCACATGAAACAAAACTTTTAACTTTTCTTAACTTACCTCCTTCTAATATACAGTCCTCCCTCTCACCCCTCCCAACTTTCAGCATTCTGAGGGTGCCCTCTATTTCCCCCTTAGCATCCCTTCTGCGGGGACCCCTGCCATGGTTTTGAACTTCTGAGCGCCAGCTCGGCATGGACTGCATCTCCCAGGCTCACAGCAGCCTGAGGAGAGGTGGGGCTGGCTCTAGGACCCAGGGGTCTGAACCTCACCAGGGTAGGGCCTGTCCCATGCCTCACGCAATGAGTGATGGGTGAGGACTGCAGGCTGGCAGGGTCCTAGCAGTCACGGTGGCTCAGTAACAAATCCCCCCTCTTTCCTCCCCAACATCCTCAGAATAGGTCCTACCTACTCAGCTGTTTCCCTCCAGGGATGGGACACGCACTACCTCCTGGAGCAGCCTGTTCCGGGTCAGATGGTGGCACTGACCTTTCCCACACAGGCGCCAAAAGGAGCGGCCTTGTGCCTTCCACCTGGGGGGGGGGGGGTATGGAAGCTGGAGTCAGAGCGAGGCCCAGTGGTGCCCACTCCGATAAACCACCTTCCCGTCACAGTGGGTAGTGGTCCCCTTGATCAGAGCCACCAGCTACTGGCTCCTCCGTGATGATAACTTTATTTTATGAGGCTTAAATGAAATAACGTGTGTGCTCTCAGCGCATCCCAGCTCAGATGAAGCACTAATAAACGACAGCTGCGGTTAGAACCATCCGGTCTGTGGAGCACTTGCTCTGTGCCAGGTGGGGCGCTGGCACTTTCCTGCATGGACCCCCGTAATTCCCCCAGCAGTCCGGGCAGAGTCCCCGTAACCCGGTGTGCTCAAATACACGATAATCTTACTGGATCCTCGGCATTTAATGGAGCAGGGAGTACAGATTGCTTTAGAATCCCTGTTTTTATTTATTCCTCACAGACACCTCGGGAGGCAGGTAAAATAAGAGGTACTGTGGTCCCTCCTTTAAAGGGGAAGTGGAGGCATAGGCATAGCAAAACTAAGGGACTTGCCCAAGATTGCATAGTCAGTGGGGCTGTAGGCATAGGTGAGTCGTGTACTGAGCTCATACTATATGTCAGGCCTGGGTAACATTTGAAAGACTATAATACAAAGATGAATAAAGCTAACTTCTCTTCCAGCCCAGTTGGTAGGGTTAGTCATTCCCATCTTACCCATCTCTTTCCTACCCCCACACAGTGGAACAGGTGGTATATGCTTGATGGAGGGAGCCAGTGACAGCAGGCTCTGAGCTCAGCAGCCCCCACAGTAGGGGGCCCTGTGTAGTTGATCAGTTAGTAGAGCCCCCTTTAAGCCAGTCTAAAAGGCTGAGTTGCCACCCTAACCGGTTTGGCTCAGTGGATAGAGCATCGGCCTGCAGACTCAAAGGTCCCAGGTTCGACCTTGATCAAGGGCATGTACCTTGGTTGCAGGCACATCCCCAGTAGGGAGTGTGCAGGAGGCAGCTGATCGATATTTCTCCCTCATTGATGTTTCTGGCTCTCTATCCCTCTCCCTTCCTGTCTATAAAAAATCAATAAAGTGTATATATTTAAAAATAAATAAATAAATAAAATAAAAGTCTGAGTTGCCATGTGGGAAGCCGGCCTTGCCCGGCCTTCCCAGCCCTCAAGGTCATGGGATCTCCCTGTGCTGCCCTAGCCCAGCCTACGGAGGCCGCCTGTGCTCAGGGCCCATGTTCCAGTACCAGGTCTGCAACAGCGATGAGTGCCCGGGGCCCTATGAGGACTTCCGGGCCCAGCAGTGTGCCAAGCGCAACTCCTACTACCGCCACCAGAACGCCAAGCACAGCTGGATCCCCCACGAGCCTGAGGATGGTGAGTGGGCCCTGCTCCCCTCCCACCCCCCAACAGTAAAGGCTGGGGGGCAGCGGGGACACCAAAAGGGACATTGCCGTTGTCAGGCTTGCTGCAGATGACTGTGCAGGCCTTCGTGTTGTGTAGCTCTGGGGGGCCACCGTCCTCATATAGTTTTCCCTGGTTTGTACACGGAGTGGCCAGAGTGTTATGATCTCTGAATGCATAATAATCTGGCCACTTAGTGTAAATCCTGTATAATAAAAGGTTAATATGCAAATTGTCCCTTCGACTATGAGTTTGACCAGCAGGCAGGCCAGCCAACCACCCATGAACCCTCCCCCTGGCCAGGCTGGCTGGACCCTACCCATGCACGAATTCATGCACCAGGTCTCATACACACACACACACACACACACTCTGAGTGGCCAGATTTTATTCGTTCAGAGATCATAATAATCTGGCCACTCAGTGTATATTATCATGACTGTGTTCTGGAGAGCAAGGAGAATGTCTTGAGCAAGGCCACCTCACCCAGAGGTGCTGTGAGCTGGCAGCTGTGCAGGCTGTTGGGGCCTTTCCCACCTGCCCTTACCTGTACAGGTAGGCAAAGTACAGGTGCAGGCACCCCTTGCTCTGCAAAACCAACATCCCGAGAAGCTCGATCCTTATCCCATGCCGTGGTTTTAGGTTGTACTGATTGTGTTTCCATTCCAGCAGTTAATGAAAATGATTGGAAAGCAGGCTGATGGGAACCGGTGGGATCCTCATACAGAACCCTCCAGGCTGCTGTGGGACAGACCTGGGCTGGGGGACCCATGCAGAGGGACAAGACAGGGCTAGTGCCTGTCTGCTGGGAGCACTCCAGGGATGGCTGTTGTAGGGGCAGCGGGAGGCCAGTGAAGGGCTGAGATTCGCCATGCCTCAGAGCCATCGGGCTGAAGGGACCTGACAGTCCTCTGAGCCACCTCCCCACCATTCTCTCCGTAGTTTCTCCATGAGCTGATGCGCACCCCACCAGGCAGCCCTCGGCCTCAGTGCCGATGGGACAGCTTTTCCTCTTCAGACCCTGGCTCCAGGGTATCAATGGTCGTACCCTCAGTTGGTCCACCCACTTAGAATGATAGCCTCCAAGTTGGAAGGGACCTCAGGGGCCTGACCACTGCTCGCCAGTACACATACCCTCTGAGCATGTTACATGTGTCTTCCCTCTGCTTGCCTGCCTCCTGCCCTGGGGAGCTCACTGCTTCCTTGCCACTGTAGGCTGGCTTCCACGGGGACATGGTGGTCAGGGTCATAGTGGTCTTTGGGACAGTTGGAGCCTTCATCCTTTGCCCTGCCCCCTTTCCTCCCCCCTGCCAGGTCCCTCCAGAAATCTGACTCCTGTGGGTGAAATCCAAAGTGGTATTGGATGTTGTGGCTCTGAGTCCTGAGTGCTGGGCAAGATGCCCGATGGTCCCTTAGAAACGTGGCTGAGTGAGCGGCTTGCTTTGAAAGCCTTGCAGATCCAGTCAGAATCCAAACAAACCACCGGAGCATGGGGCGGGGCGGTGCTGTGAGGGGCGGGAGGCCGATGGGGCAGCTAGACTTTGAGTTTTCCCAGGACTTTCAGACAAATTCCAGGAAGCTAGCTAAGCCCCAACCTCCCATTTTCTGAGAAACGCAGGGAGTGTTTATATGTTCTCTGGGACCTCCTTTTTACATCAATAGCCCAGACGGAGAATGGAACTTTTAATTGTTAGAACTAGAAAGAGCCCCTTCTCTCCCTCACGTGCTGCTCCACTTACAAACCCAAACACAGACCACTATTCCTGCTTTTCATGCTTCCTTGTACTGTTTGCAAGCAACATGTGTGGCTGGTTAAATGCATGTAGAGGTCAGAGCAGGACCCAAGCCAGAGTGCCTGCGCCAGAATCCTGGCTCACCACTTACTGTGTGGCCTGGTACACATTCCTAACCTCTCTGGTCCTTGGTTTTCTCCTCTGTTAGAACCTACTTCCTTGGGCATAGAAAGTCTTAAGTGAGCTAATTCACAAAAAGCGTTTGAAGTTGTACATCAAGAGTGTGTAAAGGTTTGGGAAGTTCCTGGCACATAGTAAGCATTCACTGCGTGCTGGCTTGTTATTGTTGTTGTTATTTTGTCACTTGATTTTTTCTCAACCATCTGATGTAGCATTTTACTGATCAAGGAAAATAAATCAGGAACAGAGGCTCGAAGGGGTCAGATATGATTTGCCCAAGATCACAAGGCCAGTAAGTAAGTGACAGAGCAGGAAACTTGAGCCCCAGCCCCACGGCGCCCCCTATTGCCCAGAACTGGCTCTGGAGCTTCCAGCTCCAGGGCTCAGCAGGACTCCTCTCCCCACAGACAGCCAGAAGTGCGAGCTGATCTGCCGGTCAGAGGACACGGGGGATGTGGTCTTCATGAACCAAGTGGTCCACGATGGGACGCGCTGCAGCTACCGGGACCCCTACAGTGTCTGTGCCCGCGGGGAGTGTGTGGTAGGTGACCACCCCCTCCCCCCGCCAAACCACCCACTCTCCCTGCCCCTTCTGCTCCCTACACAGACAAGCATTGCTCACTGTCCCCATCCATACCCCTTATCGTCAAACATAACCCTGGATGCTAGAAAGGGACTATTGCCCAGCCCCATTCAAGAGGAGAGGGGTGGCCAAGTTTAAGACCTTGCCCATGTCACTTGCAAGCTTGTGGGTGAGGGAGTGGGGGACACAGGCTGCTGACCTCAGGGTGGTGAATGGGGCCTGGGAGCCTCCTCCCACTGACCCCACCTCTGGCCTCAGCCCGTCGGCTGTGACAAAGAAGTGGGGTCCATGAAGGCAGACGACAAGTGTGGGGTCTGTGGCGGCGATAACTCCCACTGCCGGACTGTGAAGGGGACGCTGGGCAAGGCCTCCAAGCAGGCAGGTAAGCTGGCTGGGGCTGGAGGGATGGCCAGCGGCAATTCAGGTACCTGAGTGTCCTCAGTGGGCCCTTCCTCCTGGAGCTGGGTCACAGTTTACGTGGGGAGAGAGGGCCTCAAAGCCAGTCTCCAGACAGTCCCCGAGGCCAGGGCTGGTGACCAGACGCCATAGCTGGCCACCTTGTTTTCTAGGCGACCTGCTACCTGTGTTTGGGGCCAGGGACTCGGAAGCGTTTTCTGGCTAGGCAGCGTGTGGTGACGGGGCTCAGCCACCTCTTGGCTCTGGGGCTGTTGATGGGGGGAGGAGTCCGACCAGTTTGGACGTGTGGCCCAGGCGGAACTGGTAGTGTGCTTCCCCTCTCTCCTCTCTCACTTTAAAAGCGCCCCTGGGGCCTCCTGCTTTGAACTCCCGGTACTTTTGAGTTCCTTGACTTTCCCCTCCACCTTCAGTCTGTCTCACCAAACTTGCTGTTGAAAAGGCCAGATATCAGTCCTTTACATGTTAGTGTGAACTAGATCCTTGCCCTTGGGGGACTGTGACATCTTTACTTGCCTCTCCTTTGGGAGGAGATTGATGGCTCCAAGAAAGGTTTGTTTCCAGGCGTTGGGTTGGCCAAGAGGGCCCAGGGCAGCCATGCTGGATCTTCCTGGCCTGCTTCATCTAAATCCCTGCTGTGGCTTAAGGTGTGAAAAGAAAGTGGGGGTAGGGTTGGGGGAGGAGGAAAAATCCGGAGAGAAGAGGAGGGTCAAGAGAGTGGGAAATAGTAGCAACCACCACACACAGAGCCCCTTCGAGTGCCTAGAGCATTTTGAGCTACAGCAGCTCCTGCGATCCTGGCACCACCTGTGGGGAAGGGCCCGCGCCTGTTTTACAGATCAGGAAACTGAGATTCCTGGGTACCTACGGGGATGGCGGGCCACGAAGGGGGATGCTGGGCAGTGGGACCGTGGCTCAGGGTGCTCACAGCTTTTCTGGATCCTCCTCTGGCAGCAGCTCTCAAGCTGGTACAGATCCCAGCCGGTGCCAGGCACATCCAGATTGAGGAGCTGGAGAAGGCCCCCCACCGCATTGGTGAGTGCCGGGGGAGGGTGCGGAGGGCTGCCAGGCCCCCAGAGCTGCCCACAGGTTTGGGGGAGCTGGGAGAGGAGAAGGTTGTAATGCAGGGAGGATTTCAAAGATTTGAATAATGGCAGAGAACCTCTTTTTGTTCTGTTTTCCTGTGGTTCAGCAGTTTGGGCTGGGCTCACCTGGGTGCTGCTTCCACCTCACTGCCCGGACTTGCTCATGCAGATGCCCTCAGCTGTGGGTGTGTAGGGCCTTGGCTGGGACTGGATGCCTGCTGGGGTCATGGGGCTGGGGTCATGGGGCCATGTCCCCGCAGGCTAGCCCAAGGTTATATACGTGGTGTCCATCACATGAGCCTCAGGAGTTGTGAGAGCAGACAGGCCCCGTGTGCAAGCTTTATGCATCATATTTTCTTGTTTGTTTGTTTGTTTGTTTGTTTTAGAGAGAGGAAGAGAAAGAGAGAAACATTGATATGTTATTCCACTTATTTATGCATTCATATGTGTTCATTGGTTGCTTCTTGAATGTGCCCTGACCACGGATCAGATCCCCAACCTTGATATATCGGGGTATCGGGCCAACAATGTAACCAACTGAGCTACTCATTAGGGCACGTCGTGCTTTCTAATGTCCCATTGGCCCAGCAGATCTGGTGGCCAAGCCTAGGCTGACGGTGTAGAAACAGACCACCCCTTGATGGAAACATGGCAGAGGGGCATGTAGACAGGAATAGGAGGAGGCATTTGAGTAGCCATTTTTGGTACCCACTGTCTAAACTATTCCCATTATAATGACAAACATGGTCACTAAACTGGGTGCCTCCCCTTCATATTTATAGCAGTTCTACAACCATCTAGCCAAGGCGGATGAGAAGTAGGGCCTCCAGATACATCAATAAAATTCAAATGAAAAACATTCATGGCATGAAAGATTTCTTTTGTTGTTGTTGGTTTGTTTGCTTTATTCTGTTTCTGTTGAAACGAAGTTGGCAGTCCAAAAAATGAACATGTCCAAAAAAGGCAAGTCCACAGAGATAGAAAATAGGTCGGTGATTGTCGGGGGGGCTGAGAGGAGAGGGAGGGGGAGTGACTGCTACTGGGTCTCAGCTTTCGCTGGGATGATGAAAACGTTCTGGAATTAGATTGCACAACTTGTAAATACACTAAAAAGCACTGAATCGCTCACTTTCAAAGGCTGGGTTGTACGGTATGTGAGCTAGATCTGAATTTTAAAAAAACACAAGCTTGGTTTAGAGCAGGGTCCTGGCAGGGAGGGGCAGCAGGCTGTTGCCTGCATTTGGGGCAGTGGATGGTTCTCCCACATCTGTCTGTGTTCAGACTCCTTACCGAGGGCACACAGGTCACACTGTCACCGAGCCCCTCTTACGTATTGTGCCCACCGAGTCACACTGCTTGGCCCCAACTCGTCAGAAACACAGCCACAAAACCTAACACCTCCTGGCAGGTTCGTATGTCACAAAAGTGCTGACAGTTATAATTTTAGGTTATCGTCAAAGTAATACAAACATTTAAAAAAGTCTCCTGGAGAACTTGTCTCCCCTGGAGAATACATCCACGTGAGCACAGCTGCGATTGATCTGGAAGGTGCCTAGAGGTGTAGTCCAAACAGGCTCTGGGTACAAGGGGAAACTGAGGCCCTAAGTGGGCTGTGGGCCCTCTGTGTGCTCTGATGCTCCTTCAGGGTCAGCCCATCTGAGCCTGGGTCTCCTATCTCCTGCCCCGTGCCCGGCAGCCACCTCCCTCTGCATGGGGAGTGCAGGTTTGGAGGGCGTTGACCCCGCCAATTCCCTGCCCACTTGCCCGGGAAATCCTGCTGGAACAGGGCCCCAGGAGGGGACGGGGCAAGGAGAGAAGGGTCCTTGACTCCAGAAAGGGAGTGGAGCTCACAGGCTACTGCACCCCTACATATGGTTCCATCATATCAGCAGCCCTTTGGGCCTCCTTGGCCAGCTCCTACCCCACCTCCAGAAATCTAGCATCTTGATCCTCTGTCGGTAGGGGTGGTCCAGCAGCTTCTGTAGAGGTGGGCAAGCCCCTCGCATGGGGCACCTCTGCGCATGCACATTCGCCTGTTTATCAGGTGAGTTCCCTGAAAGGGTGGGGCTCTGCCAGACGCCAGGACAGGGGTGGGCGTTGGAACTTGGCCTTGGCACAGGTTGTATGAGTACACATGCGTGGAGCCACAGCATGTATAGACTGAATTTGTGTGTGTGTTTGTGTGTGTGCGCACGTGTGCGTGCACATGTGCCCTTGTATGTGCCTATGTGTGCCTGACAGGGTATGAACTCTCCGGGGAAGCCCAGGACAGGTGGCAGCCTTGGCGGTGAAGGACCTGTCCAGACTCTTTAGATTCTCCTGGAATTTGGGGACTTGGACTCTTTAAAAGGAAGAGAACTCACGTCGTCATAATGTCTACACATCCTGGGACTTGAGCTGGCACTTCCCACACACATCTCGTTTAAGCCTCATGACATCCATGCAGGCTCTTGTTACATCCCATTCTGTGGTTGGGGAGAGAGGCTCAGGTGGGAAGGAGTAACAGTCGACAGGGCACCCTGGCAAGGTCTGAAGCCCCTAGAGAGGTCTGGCTTGTGGGCCCGTGGAGAGGAACAGACATCTGTGTGTCCCTCTTTCCCTGGCCAGCGGTGAAGAACCAGGTCACAGGCAGCTTCATCCTCAACCCCAAGGGCAAGGAAGCCGCTAGCAGGACCTTCACTGCAATGGGCCTGGAGTGGGAGTACGCAGTGGATGACGCCAAGGAAACCCTCAAGACGAGCGGGCCCCTGCCCGAAGCCATCGCCGTCCTGGTGAGCCCCAGCCCGGTGGTTCTCCTAGCTCACTGTCCCTGCTGCCGGAAGCCCTCCGGTCCCACTCTCTTCGGGAGCCTGAGCTGGGCCAAGGTGCCCTCCATCACAGGCCCGCTCCGCATCTGTGCTTAAAGGCTGGCAGGATGGCAGTGAGGAGGGAGAGAGGAACAGTTGTCTCGCTGTCGGACCAGAGACGCCACACACAGGGCGTTTGTTCTCCACAGCGTAGAGCCCTGGGTGTGTCCCTTGTGTTGTCCTGGCACCATCCAGTGTTAGCATGCACTATGGCATTGCCAGCGAGCGAGTTGGCAACTGACCCTGGGGTGCCATCTGGCCCTGCGGGCTTCCTGAGAAGGGAACAGGGCCACTTTCCTGGCAGGGGCCTCTCTCCCAGCTCCTCTTCCTAGAGCTTAGAGAGCAGGGATTGTTAGCCAGGGAGACCAGGAGGGGCCCTGTCCGCAGTGCCGGTGGCTCAGGCTGGGCTGCAGGGGAGGGTGGACAGGCTCTGTTCCTGGTGCTGCCCTCACGAGTCCGGGAGGTCCTGGAGGGCAGGGTCCAGGGCCTGCCGACTGACGTTTACCCTGTACTTATCGATCACCCATACATCTAAGGCCAGTTGATTGTCAACAAGGTACCGAGACCATTCAATGGGGAAAGAATAATCTCTCTTTTAAAAAAAAATATATTTTATTGATTTTTTTTTTTTTTTTTTTTTTAAGGAAGGGAGATAGTTAGAAACATCCATGAGAGAGAATCATCGATCAGCTGCCTCTTGCACGCCCCCTACTGGAGATGTGCCCGCAACCAAGGTACATGCCCTTGACCGGAATCGAACCCTGGACCCTTTAGTCCGCAAGCTGACGCTCTATCCACTGAGCCAAACCAGTTTCGGCATAATCTCTCTTTAAAAAAAAATTTTTAAAAATTGATTTTAGAGAGGAAGGGAGAAGGGAGAGAGAGATAGAAACAGTGATGATGAGAGAGAATCATTGATCGGCTGCCTTCTGCATGCTCCCCGCTGGGGATCGAGCTCACAACCCAGGCATGTGCCCTTGGCTGGAATCGAACCTGGGACCCGTCAGTCCACAGGCAGACACTCTATCCACTGAGCCAAACCAACTAGGGCAAAAATAATCTCTTAAACTAACAGTGCTGGGTCAACTGGATATCCACAGGTGAATGAAGTTGGCCCGCTACCTGACATCATGTATAAAACTAAGCTCAAAGCAGACTCAAGACCCAAATACCAGAACTCAAACCCTAGCTCTGTTAGAGAAAATGGCTACATCCCATGAGATTGGATTCTGAGGGATGACATCTCCCCGCAGGTGCTCCCCCCAGCGGAGGGCGGCCCCCGCGGCAGCCTGGCCTACAAGTATGTTATCCACGAGGACCTGCTGCCCCTCATTGGGAGCAACAACGTTCTCCTGGAGGAGACGGACACCTACGAGTGGGCGCTCAAGAGCTGGGCCCCCTGCACCAAGCCCTGCGGAGGAGGTACTGCCCCGGGCCCGGCTGCCCCTCCACCAGCTGCCTTGTGGGTGTGGCCCTGGGCCTCTCCGAAGGGGAGGAGCAGGAATGGCCAGTGGGCTAACATCGTCTCTACTGCGGTGTCCCCAGTTCATGACTCAGTTTCTCCTTGAAGATCTCCAGGGTATGGAAGCCAATCTGGTAGGGTCTCCAGGCTGGGGCTGGGGTGCTAGCGCAGTATGCAGGCAGGGCCCCTGGGCAGAGAGGCAGCCATGTCCCCACCCACAGGACACCTGGGGTAGAGAGACAGGCTGGTCAGGGAAGGCTTCCTTAGAGAGGGACACAGGCAGGAGGGAGTGCAAAGGCACAGACAGAGGTGGGATTGGCCCTCCAGGCTTTCCAGAGCTCACTGTCCTCGAGGCCTTACACAAGGCAGTGGGGGCCTTACCCAATCAGCTCCTTGACAGCCTGCCCCCCTCTCTACCCTTCCCACCACAGGTATCCAGTTCACCAAATACGGCTGTCGGCGCCGACGAGACCATCACATGGTACAGCGGCACCTGTGCGACCACAAGAAGAGGCCCAAACCCATCCGCAGGCGCTGCAACCAGCACCAGTGCCCCCAGCCTGAGTGAGTGCCAGGAGGGACGAGGAGCCCGGTCCCACGCCCGCCAGCCCGGCCTGTTGCAGGCCTTCTCTGAGCCCTGGCCTTGGAGGAGGGGCTGCGGAGCCTGCTTCCTCCAGCCTGTAGCCCAGAGGCTCAGCCCCGAGGCAGGACTTCCTGAGCAGAGAGCAGCCCATGCCAGGCTCTGCCACGGCCGGCACTGCCCTCCTGTCCATCCCGTCTCCTCTGGGTTCCTGGATTAACTTTGTTCTGTCACTTCCAGCATTCTCTTACAGGTGGGGAAACTGAGGCCCAATTCGGGGGCACAGCTTTCCTCAATGACTGGGAGGTCCATGCAGGTGTGGCAGATTTCAGTGCTGCCAGACTGCAACCCCCAGGCAGGGCACTGTCCACCAGCTCTCCTCAGCTTGATCATCTGATCTGGGCCATGGACTCAGCCTGGCCTTCTAGCCCCAGCCATGGCCTAGCCGCTGATTGGGGTTTCATGGCCTGAGGATACAGGCTCTTCTGAGCACGGGATCATATTCTTGAGGTTATTGGGAGGTGGTTTTGGGGAGAGAAAAGAGCTGTGACTTACGGAGGACTGAAGGTCAGGGCCCCAGGCAGGGCTGAGGGTAGCCGGCCATGGGAAACCACAGAGAGCCAAACCCAATCTCCTGCCCTCCCAGGAGTCCTCCATGGTGCTCACTGGCCCCGCTGAGTCACAGCAGCTACTGCTCCCTCGGGCTAGGGGAGCTTCAGGGCCAGGGCTGGAGCTGGTGACCAGCGCCAGAGCCTGCCACAGCCTCCCTATGCTCGGGCCAGGCTGGGATCCCCAGTCCTCAGCCCTCCACGCTTCCCTTTATGTGCTACTATACACTGGTATTCAGGCCACCTTCCCTTCCCACAAGGCCATGCAAGGCTAACAGGTCACCCGCCCCAGCTTGTCTGTAAAATTGTCCAGTGAAGTTTTGGGGCTTTTTTTGTTTTTGTTTTTTAAAGGAAGGGATTGACTGAAAGAGCCTGGTTTACCACCAGCTTAGCTGATCAGCACCGAAGCTCTGCAGGCGCTAACGGTGATAGTAATAGTGCCTGCATTTATTACATGCCTATTGTTTGCCATGGACCCTGCCAGGTGCTTTATACAGATCAAGCCCTTTAATTGTCTGAAGCGCCCACAGGAGGGTGTTCTGTACAAGCTATGATTGCAGCTGCTTTGTGCTCTTGATGGAAAGATGGGGTAACTGAGGCTCAGATGGGTTAAAAGCTTACTCAAGGATATGCAGGGTGTCAGGATTTAAATATGCATTATAGCCATTTTTTCAGATGAGGCTTCAGAGGAGAGATTAAGTGACCTCCTTGAGGCCACACAGCCTGGCACCTGCAGAGTCAGATGGACAGTGGTCTTGGCCCCCAAGCATTCATTCTGAATGAAGCCCAAACCCATTCTCTGGCTCCTGCCTGCAGCAGTTCAGTGGGTGAAGTGACCTTGGGAGGAAATGTCCCCTTGGCCCCCCCGCCCCCCCACCTTCTGCCCTGTCTGCCTCCAGGTGGGTGATGGAGGAGTGGAGCACCTGCAGCCGGAGCTGTGGGAAGCTGGGGGTGCAGACCCGGGCAGTGCAGTGCCTACTGCCCCTCTCCAACGGTACCCACAAGGCCATGCCAGCCAAAGCCTGCCCTGGGGACCGGCCAGAGGCCAGGCGGCCCTGCCTCCGAGTGCCTTGCCCAGCCCAGTGGCGGACCGGAGCCTGGTCCCAGGTGAGTTGTCCTTAGAGGATGGAGGGGCTGGGCCAATGGGGCGCCTTCTCTGGGAAGTCGGGGCAGAGGTGGGACTAGATGCGGGAACTATTGAAAGATCTGGTACTACCCGAGAACAAAGTTTCTGGCTGACTCCACCCCCGCCCACCCCCCTTATATGACTTGGTTTTTCTCAACACTGAGTGGAACAGCTACTTGTGCCCTGGGCCATGGCTCTGGGCTGGGCCTTTAAATTCATTTACTATTTGCTTTGACCTTCATGCAGCTCTAGGAGACATGGCCTACTGTCCCTTATTACAAATGAGCAAATTGAAGCACATTCTTGCATCCAATAAACATTTGCTTAGTTCCAGCTACATGTCAGGCACACTGAGCTAGGAACACAGGGATCCGGCGTTAGCCAGCCAGATCTGATCCTTGTGCTTGTAAAGCTCATGGTCCAGTGACGGAGACATAAGGGACAAGTAAACTCATAACAAAAGCATTTACAGGGTGCCGTTGGATCTGTGTGGGACGTGAATGGATTAATGCACCAGAGAGGGCCCACGGAGGGCTGCAGGAGGACATGGGGACGGTGGCCGGGGCTTTAGGAAGAGGTATAAAGCTATACCGTATCCTCAGAGCAGTGGGAAACTACTGAGTTTTTATGCGGGTGTTACACGAGCTCGGATTTCAGGTTTAAAGGCTCACTCTGAAAGTTCATTGTTGGGAGGCGGAGTGGAAAGGGAAACAGTGAGACGGCTGTGGAGCAGTCCAGGTGTTCTTGGCTGGGCCCTGGCAGTGGCCATAGGATCTCTTTCTGATGTCTAGAAACTCTCTTAGAAACTCACTTGATACAAACCTTGAAGACATTATGCTAAAGGAAATAAATCAGCCACAAAATGACATAGGATCCCACTTAGATGAGGTACTTAGAATAATCAAATTCAGAAAGACAGAAGGTAGATGGGTGGTTTCCAGAGCTGGGGGAGGGAGGACTGGGGAGTTGGTGGTTAACTGGGACAGAGTGTCAGTGTGGAAAGATGGACATCCTGCAGTCCTGCAGTCCTGGAGATGGACGGTGGTTGCCCAGCAATATGACTGTACCTAATGCCACAGAACTCTATACTTAAAAATAGTCAAAATGGTAAATTTCATGTGATGTATATTTTTTTATACACACAATTTAAAAAACTAATTTGATCAAGGAGATGAGCACAGGGAAGGTTATTGTAACAGCAAAAAAAATGAGGGAATATTCTAAATGTTTATTTATTGGAGATTAGGAAGGAGAATCAAAGTCTGTTCATACAACAAATACTACACACAAGCTTGAACGGTACGCATCAACATAAACCTCAAAAAATAAGTGCAATAGAAAGCACCGAAGTATGAAGAAGCAAAGCCCTTCCAATTCACTTAAAGTTAAAAAAGGCACAACACGATATTTGAAAACAAGCTGGAATGCTGGTGTTTTAAAGCTGGTGATGGTTTGAACAGGTTTTTATGACCATTTTCTTCAGACTTTTCTGTATGCTTGAAATATTGCATCATAAAGAGTATTTTGAAATAACCATGAATCCCCACACAACAACAGAAAGATTTTCTGTTCTTCTCCGTAAAACATAGATTTATCTGTTTCAGTATAAAACAGGAAGACTGCTGGTCCCACAAAAGACCCCATAGTTAAATCTAACAGAGAAGTGACAGGTGAAGGGAGATAGTTGCCCCTTATAAGTCGTGGCAAGCACGTGAGAGCAACTGTTTGTAATTATTCACCTCAGGAGGCAGAGGCCCTTGTGTGAGGGTTCTGGGTGGCCGGTGACATGGTGTCTCGCTTGGGTTGTCCCATGCCCGGTCTGAGAAGGGACCTCTGTAAGTTCTCCCCCATCCCATAGGCGAGGCTGTGCTCGGTGCCAAAACCCAGCCTTCCCGTTCCAGCTTCACTTGGGCAGTCTTGCTTTTCTTGAGGCCCCACCCCCACCCCTCCTTTGTCAGAGGAAGACGTGTAAGGGGGATGCTGTGTGTGGCAGCCCTTGCATGTGGTGGTTGTCTCCTTTTACCCACGCCCTTTCCTCTCGGGGAAGAAGACATTTTGAGCATGCCTCTGCACGCTGAGTTTTGGTCATCTGAGCCACAGATTCAATGAATGTCAGACCTAGAAGGGTCTATGGGACCTTGTCACCCAACTGTCTGTTTAGCAGATGCTATGATCCAGGTCGCCATATCCTGTTACCAAGATATCATCAAGTAAACGGTCCTGCCCCAGGTCCCAAGGGCTGGCGGATCAAACAGGGGAGTTTGCCAGGATGAGACACAAAATATGTAAGAACCCGGACACAGACAGACCAGGCAGAGTGGACACAGGCAGTATTGCCGGAATGGGGTCCTGAGCCGGGTTTAACTGTTCTGACGGTGGAAGGGTTCCTGGGTTCTGAGCTCAGGGGCTGTCTGTCACCCAGGACAGGAGTATTTGACAGCTGGCATGCTGCCCTGGTGAGTTCTAGCAGCAGTTCTATGCTTGTCCTGCTGATCAAGTGGGGACTTGGCACCTTTCTTTGTACCCTTTCTGACCTGGGCATTGGCTGGGTTGGAGCTCACTGCCCCCTCCCACTATCTCTCCACCTGCCCCTCCCCGACCACTGTGGCCTGGCTGTATCTGTCTCACGGAAGTGCTCTGCCACCTGCGGAGAGGGCATCCAGCAGCGGCAGGTGGTGTGCCGGACCAATGCCAATAGCCTCGGACAGTGCGAGGGGGACAAGCCGGACACCATCCAGGCCTGCAGCCTGCCTGCCTGCAGAGGTGAGCCGCATAGGATGGGGGAGGGGGAGGACAGGCAGGCCCCGCCCCTCTAGACCCGATTCCCAGCCCAGCCTGTATCCTGGCCCCCTAGAAATCCCCAGTATCAGAGGTGCTTCTCTCTGCTCACAGGAAATCTCCAGAACTCTACCGTGAAGGCTGACATCCAGACACTCGTGACCCCACAATCCGGGCCCCTGCATCCTATGAACAAAATAACATCAAGTAAGTGTATGTCTGGGCCCCACTCCTCCCCCAACCAGTGGCCACTGCTCCATGTGGTGGAGTAGACCCAGCTCCTAGTCTGTGCGTGTGACCTTGGCCTTCAGAAGCCTCAGATTCCTCAGCTGGGAGGCGGGGACAATGCTTGTCCTGGTCCATGATTCCTTATCTGCACTTCTAAAATGCTGAAAGCTGCAAATGCTTCCTTAAATCTGGTGCAGATTCATTTGGCAGCAAAATTTGACCCGAACTAACAAGAGATCATTATTCTGCTCTGAAAACATTGCCATATTTGGTTATAAGATGATGTTCCAATCTCCACTGGGAATGTTATACAATACAAAACAGTGAATATTATTCTTCTAACCTCAAAAGTTCTGAATTATGAGCCATATATTGCTTCAAGATTTTTGGATCAGCAGATGAAGATCTGAGCTGTGGTCATATGGCTGTTGAGAGAATTAAATGAGATAATGCATGCACTCCTGTCCAGCTGTCAGCTAAGAACAACAAAAATGGTAGTTTCTCTCTGCCTCATGATCAGTTCTTTCTCCCACACATGCATCCACCCACCCACCCACCTATCCATTCATCTACCCATCCAATGCACCCACCTATCTACTCACCCATTCTTCCATCCATCAATAATTGACTAGGCACCTGCTATGTATCAGGATCAATGTATAGTGCCCTTCTAAATTCCTTCTCTCTTTCCCAGGGGTGAGTAGTTGTAGATCTGAGTTAAGAAGATGCGTAGCAGAAAGATCACAGAGCCTAACCCCTTGTTCGAGGACCAATTGTCCTTGTGCCCTTGGGCACTCCCTGGACCTCTCTGCGCTCAGTGACCTCATCTGTAAAACAAAGCGGTCTGACTAGATGTCCTCAGAGAATTTTCTGCCTCTGACTTTACGGCTTCTCTGCTCTTGTGCTGAGGCTCAGGCTGTGCAAGGGTTTCCTTCTCTCTTCCTCCCAAGAGCAAAGGATGGGGCTCTGATTCCGGTCCTAGAATTCTGGCGCCATCTAGAGGCCACAAGACTCATTCCTTCGACTTCTGTTAGTGCAGAAACAAAGCAAACAAGACTAGTCTAGTGAGCCCTCCCCTATGCCAGGAATTTTATAAATGCAATTTATATTGTTATTATTCACTGGTAAATGCCAGCGTCACCCCCATTTTGCAGGTGAAGAAACAGAGGGTGGTGGTGGGGAAATTGACTTGCCCAAGGCCTCAGAGCTTTTAAGTGGCGGAGCCTTGATTGGAACCTAGATCTGCTTGATTCCACATTTATTGGTGGAGGGCTTAGAGCTCCAAATGGCCTGTGTTTGATCAGCATGTCACAAGTGTGACTTACCTGATAATTCGCTTGGTCCTGGTGGAGTGGATCAGACTCCTTTGGGTTGATTGGGAGGAGGCAGGGGTTCCCACTTCCCCCCAGAGCAAGGTTCCCAAGATCTGCTATTCATAGGAGTCCCCCATGGCCCAGGTCCCACCCGCCCCACCCGGTCTCTCCGGGTGTAGGAGCTCAGCAGTAGCTACTGGCAAAGCTCCCCAGGTGATTCCAGTTGGCAGTCAATTCTGACAGCTCAGGATGTAGGGCCGTGGTTCTCAGGGTTTCCCATGTATTTACATCACTTTGAAGGTCTTGTTAAAACACAGGGCTGGGCCCTAGCCAGTTTGGCTCAGTGGCTAGAGCATCAGCTCGTGGACTGAAGGCTCACGAGTTCGATTCCAGTCCAGGGCGCATGCCCGGGTTGTAGGCTTGACCACCAGTGTGGGCATGCAGGAGGCAGCCAATCAATGATTCTCTCTCATCATTGATGTCTCTCTCTCTCCCTTCCTTTCTCTGAAATCAGTAAAACAAAACAAAAAAAATTTTATAAACAAACAAAACAACACTGAGCTGGGCCTCACCACAGAGTTTCTGATTCGGGAGGCCTGAGTGAGACCTGAGAATGTGCATTTCCAACAAGCTTCGGTGATGGTTGGGATCTGCTTTAAGAACCACTGTTCAGCATCTAGTCCCTCTGCCACATAGTAAGGGCTGTTACTCAGTCCTGTCTCCTGTCAGGCGGCCCGTTTCTCCCTCTGGGAATAAGCTTTATAGTGAGTCCAGCCAGAGCAGGAGAAGGGCCTGCAGCTGGCGGGCTGAGGGGGAGGCCGGGGTGTGTCCTGGTGTCAGCGGCTGACAGATGTCCTCCCGGCATCGGTCCCTGTTGTGTGTGTGCAGCAGAACCCTGCGTGGGGGACAGGTCGATCCTCTGTCAGATGGAGGTGCACGAGCGCTACTGCTCCATCCCCGGCTTCCACCGGCTGTGCTGTGAGTCCTGCTCCAAGAAGGCCTCAGGCCCTGATGCCAGCCTGGACCCCCGCCCGACCTCACCGCCACCCTCCTCCACTCCTGGGAGCCCCTCGCCGGGAGCCAAGGCCCCTCCAGATGCCGTGGAGCCCACTGTGGCGTCAATGGGCTCAGACAACCGTTCGCATGGCCGACCCACACAGCTCCCAGGACCTCTGGGGACAAGCCCCCCAGGGACCCAGCGCCTTGGCTCTGCTCCCCAGAAACTGAGTCCCGGAGCATTGCAGAGTACTTTCCCTAGCGCCACCCGGGGGCAGCCTTGGGGCTGGACCACTGGCCCGCCTCTGCCAGCCTCTGCGGATAAAGGGCAACTCAGGGAAGACCTGAAGCATCCGGGCACCAGCCTTCCAGCCACCTCCCCAGTGACATGAGCCCGCCCTGCCCATCCCTCCGCTGCCAGTCAAGTTTACACTCTGTGGGCCCAAGACCTCCAGCTCCGATGACACACCGCGGGCCAGGGGCAAGCACAGACTTCCTTTTAAATTATTTGCCTTCTTCTAGTTTCGGGCTGTGATACTTTTCACCTGTGAAGTGGGTGTGCGAGGAAGAAAACAAATCAGGGAAAACCGTAACCTGAGATACCTCAGCAAGCAGCCCAGGTGACTGAGTCGAACCTCTCAGGGGCTCCTGTCTGTCTCTCCTGCCAGGACTGAAGGCCAGCCAACGCCCGGCCCTCACAGCCACCGGGTCCCACACTAGATCCGTCCAGCTGCCTGTCTTCACCAGAACCTGTGGGACCACCGTCTGCCTGGCCCCTCTGCTCAGAGAGGCAAAGCAGGGGCAGGGAAGTTGAGGGCGGTGCTCCGGGGCAGTCAGTCAGAGAGGAAGGGAGGGTGGTTGGGGGGTCCGGCTGCAGGGCTGGAGCAGGTGGGAGGCAAGTTCATCGCAGGCCCAGCCTCTTGTAGCAAGAGCTCCATGCAGCTCTTCCGGCCAAGGCCAAGGGGCAGGCGGTCCAGCTTGCCACCAGTGTTGGTGGCCACCTCTGCCTCAGCAGACAGCACTTTCTGCTGCTTCTGGGACCTCCAGTCTACAGGTGGGCCTCCCAGCCTCTCTCCAGCTCACCCAAGGGGGCTCTGAACACTCTAGGAATTTCCCAACTGGTGCTAGAGCCGTGGCTAGGCCAGAAATGGCAACTCTGTCATCACTCATCACTCCAGGGCGTGAAGGGAGACGGACTGGAAGGGGCTGGGACACGGAGGGAGCCGTGCGTTCTCAGGCTGTGCCCCGTCCATCATTGCCCTTTGCCAAAGTCCACTCCTGCTGGGGTTAGGGGTCCTCTTCCCCCACCTGGCTCCAGCTGAGCCAGAGGTTTGTGGTGCTGATGGGGGAGGGGGGTCAGGCCTCACAGCTGAGGACCAGAGTCCACTCCTAGCTGGGCTCTGTAAATGATGGGGGCCACCCCGGGCAGGATATGAGCCTCTGTCCCATGCTGGGGTGGGGAGGAGACACTGACAGACAGCACTGTGGTGCCTCAGCTGCTCCTACCCCCTTACCTCCAAGGGCAGGTATCTTCCCTTGACCCTCTGGCTCTCTGGAAGCCACCTGAATCCCCAAGGGTCCCTCCCAGGGGCCCTCATCCCAAATGGTGCAGAGAAACCCCCGGACCCTTCAGCAGGTGTAGAGGTGCTTGCTAGCTCTTCCTCCCCAGGGTGAGGGCTGTTCTGAGCCGGGCTAGAGGGATGGGAGCAGCGGGCCGGCCTGAGAGTGCCGGGGGCAGAGAGCCCTCCCCCTGCTGCCCGCCCCTCCTGGTGCTGGGGCACACACTGAATCATTCCTGTGGCCCAGCCTGCCTGTCAAAAGGCTGTGAACTCCGCCTTTGAGATCCAGATCTTGGAATTGTTCTGTATTTATTAACATTGTCCTTGGTGTTTTGCTTTGGACCCCAAAATATTGTGTTGCGTGTGTGTTTTTTTTTTCTCTGTGTTTAGGGGACATGGGCTGGGCTGTGGTGAGATGATTGGGGTGGGGGCTGGACACAGAGATGCTAGAGGCACGAGAAAACTTGACCCCCCAGCCTCCCTGCCTTGGCCTCACTGGCTCTGGGGCTCCTCTGAGCATCAGCTCTGGGTGGACAGGTAAGAACAGGGCTGGAGGGCCCACTCAGCTTTCACCACTGAGAGGCTGTGTGGCGTTGGGCAAGTCAACATCCAGAATGTGGCCCAAAGGGGAGGCGGTTTTGGGATCTGCATGACGAAAAACATTCTAGTGAGCAAGGCTGCTCAAACGTGCAAGGGGGACTTCCCTGGAAGGTGGTGAACATTCTTCCCTGCAAAAGTCCAAATGGAACGTGGGTGCTGGGCAGGTGGTAGGAGTATGATGCATCTTGTTGGGCAGGGAAGGCTGACATGAAACATGCGCTGTACGGTTTTAAAAGAACCAATCCACAGCTAACCTCCTGCGGCGTCAGACATTGCCAATCCATCACTGAGTGTATGGATTTGTGTTTCACAGGCCCTTCCCTAACATTGTGGGGCCCACGACAAGGACCCAGAGAACCCCTCCAGGGACCTCTCATGCCTGTGGGAGCATTCTAGCCCTCAACTTCAAGCCCCATTTATATCTCTCTGCAAAAACCCTCATCCCCTTAGAAACTACCCCTTTTAAACAGCTATCACTCAGGCCTAGAAGTGCATACGGGGTAACGCAGGCACACCTGTGGGGGACTGACCTAGGGGGATGCTAGCACAGGCCCTGGAACTGCACTCAGGATTGTTCGGGCAGAGAATTCTGTGGGACCAGCTACCCAGAAGGTAGACCACAAAGAGGCAGGTGACCCCAGGGTACATCTGCCCTTGGTGCAGTGCAATCATGGTTGGTAGTGTGGGCAGAGTGGGCCTCTAAGAGCCTCAGCACCCCGGCTCCCACAGCAATTTGGGCACATTGCTTATGTTCCCCTCCCCCACTGCCCGGGCAGCAGCATTTTCACTCTGAAATCTGTCCAGTTAAATCTTCATTTTAAAAAATGTATATTTTTTTTTATTGATTCAGAGAGGAAGGGAGAGGGAGAGAAGGATAGAAAATCAATGATGAGAGGGAATCATTGGCTACCTCCTGCATGCCCCCTCCTGGGGATCAAGACCAAAACGTGGGCATGTGTCCACAGGCCAGGCTGATGCTCTATCCACTAAGCAAAACCGTGTAGGGCTAAATCTTCATTTTTAAGGACACATAGTACCGCTTGTATGGCTAAATGACCAAGTATTGAACCCACATTCCTTAGTACTGTCAATTTAGTTTGTTTCTAAATTTTGATATCATAAATGATGTGAAGTAAATCTTCTCATTTTTACCTGATTTTTCTTTAGACAGCTTTCCAGAAATGAATTAGAGTGAAAAGTGCACCAAAACCACATCTTGAAGGCACTTGATATATATTTCCTGTTGCCCTCCATAAATGACTTTAGTCTCTCCAATGGGATAACAGTACTGCCGCCCAACTCTAAAACGTTGGCTTTCGTCATCTCAAAAAGCACTTTCAGAAGAAGTCTTGGGCATCCAAACAACATTGCCAGAACATTTTGAATTTGCTGTCTGCAGAGCAAGAATTGACATTCATAATGGTGTTCCCAAGAGCCTAGGATAGTGGTCGGCAAACTGCAGCTCGCAAGCCACATGCAGCTCGCGAGCCTCGGTTTGCCATTCTGTTGACTAATGAGTTTGCTGACCACTGGGGCTTAATCACAAGAAACAACAACAGCCTGTAATTATTGGAATCGAGAGTCTAGGTCAGCACATGGCAAACTCATTAGTCAACAGAGCAGCAAACCTCGGCTTGCAAGCTGCATGTGGCTCGAGAGCCGCAGTTTGCCAACCACTGGCCTAGCATACTTGAGGGGCCTTCTGAATCACCTCAGCCGACCATCTCGTTTAGTAATCAGCAGGGTGTAGAGGGTAGAACATTGGTTTTGGAGGCAAAAGATCCAGGTTACAGCCCAAACCCTATGTCTTCATGTCTGACCGTCCGTGCTTCACTTGACCTTCCACCTGCAAGACGGGGAAAGCCATTGCAGACCTGCTCCTTGAATGGGCAGTTGTGAAGATGGTAGGGGAATAGGGGAGAGTAATCGTGGGACCCATCGGTAAGTGTCAGCTTGTCGCTTGTATAAAGTATTGTCAAGAAAGTATGGTGATAGCAATGTGGCTGTCATTCCAGATTAATTTATAGAAATGGGTACTTGAGTTTAGGGGGCTATATAGCTAACATTTATTGAACACATACTATTATATAAGGCCAGACACTGTGCTATGCCCTTCACCCAATATCTCACTAAATCCTTACAACTCCATGAGGAAACAGGCTCAGAGAGGTCGAGCCACTTGCCTATGTCACACAACCAGAAAAGTGTAGACAGTCTCTCCGTAGCAGCTGAGGGGAGATCAGGCAGTTGACAAAACACATGCCTAGAATTCTGTGTGCAGGCCACCTGCTGGCACCCAGTGAGTCAACAGTGTTTGCAAAAAGAAAAGGGCTTGAGGTTCTTAGTATTGAAATCAGAGCCAGATAATCTACTTACTGATTAATCTGGTGCTCTGGCTGAGAAGAACCTTATATAATTAAAGGCTAATATACCACTTGTTATGATGTATGCTGACCACCAGGGGACGGTGCAGAATGAAGAAAGGCCCAAGCAGGCAACCAAGGGAAGGAAGGCCCTGGCCAGCAGCCTAAAGGCCCTGATCAGCCCTGTTCACCAGTTAGGCCTAGGGACCCTACCCATGCACAAATTTCGTGCACTGGGCCTCTAGTTCTCATATAAAAACAGAAGCTGAGGCTCAGGGTAATGAAGTAACTGCAGAAGGTGACACAGGGAGTGGCTGAGCCTGGCTCTAAAGCCACCAAGTCTATCCTTCCACTCTGCCAAGTAGCTGCAGAATTAAAATGTGGTCAGGGCACAGTAGTCCTGGCCATTAGGTAAAAATAAGCTGCCAATCGACCAGTGAATGGAATTGGATTCCCCACTGCTAACACCCTGTAATTCAGGTTGCAATAAAATATGCTCCACACGGAACTTTCCCTGCTCCGTGAGTGTGGGCAAAACCTTTCCCGCTCTAGGGCTCAGCTTCTACTATAAAACAGATGATGGAACTCAGTGCTCATTGGGCTGTTGTTCCAGCCAAGAGCCAAATTGTCGGGGGGGGGGGGCATTGTTACGGGGATGTGGAGCTTAAAGGGCAGGAAGAGCTGGAGAGATGACGCGGTGGACATGAATGAGCTGGAATGTGCCACAAATGGACAATATGTGTGTCCAGAGCAGGATGCCCAGACTCCAGGCAAATCTCGTAAATGAGGGTGGGGAAGTTAATGAATGAGAGCTTATGCCAGGAGGACCAGGATCCAGAGTTTCCATAGCTTCTGATGTCTTAAGAGAAATCTTAAATTCTGAGTTTTAAGTGTTAACAAAGAATAAATACTCCAAAGCTCAGAGGAAACTTATCAACATGCGGCCCCTGGTCTGCTGAGCTGGATGGACCAAGGTGGGCTCAGCTGGTTGCTGTAGTCCCAGAGCCACCCACACAGCATCTTTGCTTGGAGCTCCTCCTCCTCTCCTCCTTCCCCTTTCTCTTCAAGCCTGAGGTCAGGTTATTGTAAAGGGCTAGGACCCTGCAGGAACGCTTTCCCTTTGCCCTGGCTAGACCGGTTTGGACGGAGTGCTGTTAGCAGCTTTAAAAAGAGGAGCCAAAGAGGGTTCTGCCAGTGTGACTGAGGAGAGTCATGTTTCTCTCTGTGCCTCAGTTTATTTTTGATCTCTCCATGATACTTAGCAAAACAGGATGTGAAGTGATTACATGCTTGGTTGCCCCTTACTAACTATGACAAGTCACTTAACCTCTCTTTGCCTCGTTTCCTCACCTAAAAAGGGAAGAGGGAGTTAATAGTAATATTTAATCTCATTATAAGAACTAAATGGGATAATATGTATTAAATGCTAAGCATAGTGCCAGGGACATCAAAGGCCTTTAGCAAACGTTAGTGATTTTTATTTCCGGGTTACCCACTTAATTCTATAGTTTGAACTTAAAATCACAGACTTCCAAGTAAGAAGGGGCCTAAGTGAGCTGAGGGCTGTCCTGATGCCCAAAGGGAGGAGGGACTTCCCCAGGACAGGCAGCTCGCTAGGGGCAGGGCCAAGTGCCACCACAGCTGTTCCCTGACAGGGATTAGGGGAGACCCCATGGGAGGTGCACACTGCTCCTTGGCCCTTCCCCCGAGTGCTGTCCATTATTGGGACTGGATAATTGCCCACCTTCCTGCATGGGCAGCTATGTTTGGGTGCCCCCCATCTTAGAAGAAGTGGACAGCCCTGGGTGGTGTGGCTTAGTTGGTTGCTGTAGTCCCATGCATAGCAGGATTGCAGGCTCAATTCCCAGTAAAGGCACATTCCTAGGTTGTGGGTTTGATCCTCAGTCCATCCTGGTTGGGGAGTGTATGGGAAACAACTAGTCGATGTTCCCTCTCTCACATCAATATTTCTCCTCTCCCTCCCCATCTTCCTCTCCTTCTAAAATCAACAAAAACATAGCCTCCATGAAGATTAAAAAAACAATCACGAGGTAGATCTGGGAGAGCTGCTAATAGCACTTTCCCTCCTCTTTCCAGCTGGCAGAAAGAAAACACCCAAGCAATCATTACCTGGGTTAATTACCTCTGATGGTAAACAAAAGCTGAGCCGAGTGGAAAAAAACAGAGCTGGGCTACACAGATGTAATACCAGCTCCCAGCGGCAAAACAGCCAGAGACGGCAGAGGGCAAGCCTGTGTTTCAACAAAATCAAACTGATTGACTTGGGGCATCAAGGGGGCCTGGAGTGGCGCTGGACAGGGGCGGAGGGTGACTTTTCTGAGGTTTGGATTTCCCCTGAAGATACCAGTTCTGGGCTGGTGGCTTTCTGAGGCAGGATTGGGGAAAATGAGGATTAACTGGGGGGCAGGTGCTGTCAGGAGGCAGAGTGGGTTAGCAATTGGGTATTGCCGGGAATAAACCAAAAAGCCGCAGGGCTCTGAGGGTCTCCTGGGTACGAAGGCCACAGTAACTCAAATAGGGGGTGACTGTGGCATTGCACAGCAGCTGCAGCAGCTTGAGGAAACACAAGTTCCTGTAACCTTGCAGCCGGCGTTGAGTCTGCCCCGCAGCCGGCCAGGGGAATGGCAGGGCTTGATGTTTTCCAGTTCAAGTTGATTTCCGTGTTTGTATCCTCTTCAGATTTTCGCTCCTTCACAAACCAATTCAGCCAAAACTAAAACACAGTTACTATGACAGCATCTTTGTTGTAATTTTTATTTCCTTTTGCACAATTCGGTGGCCCAGAGGAAGTAAAAGTAGCCGGGAATGGGCCTCTGATGGAGAAACCCGGGAAGGTTCTCAATCAAAACCACTGGAAGATTCACCTAGAGATGCCACACCTGAGGCCAAGCCAAATGAAGGCTACAAGGAACAAGCACATGCTTATTCCCCTCCCCCTTTCCCTTCCACACACTCTGAAGAATCAATGGAAAAAATAACCTCACTCCTCAGGTAAGGATTATTATAAAAAAAAAAAAAAGTTTTGTGAATGGAGTATTGGGGAAAACCCTCAGGGACTTAATCCATCTGAATTGATGTGAGGTGGAGTAGTGTTGTGGAATGGAGCCACAATCCATGGACTGAACTCAGTAGAAGTGGGAGCTGACAGCCACAAGTGACTTTGACATTGTAAATCCTCAGTGCCTCCCTCCCCTTCACCCTTCATGGAATTGGCAGAAATATCAAGGATGACATTGGACTTCCTAGAGAGTCAAGGCCATCTTCTCTAGATCTTAAAGACAGACACACCTTGGGTGCATCTGAGTCACGTTTATAGGATAATGTCCCTTTCTCTCTTGATCTTACCAACCACCGTTTAGCTAAACCATATGCCACCTCAACCTTTGGTGAGGGTTGCGGTTTGTAAGGCCGTGGAGTACAGTGGGGATTCTAAAACCAGACACATTGGGTTTGGATCTGGGCTCTGCCATTTACTATGTGGCTCTGGACAAGTTATTTCATCTTTCTGAGCTCCGGTTTATTCATCTATAAAATGGGAGTTATAATATTAACCCACTACCTCATAGGACTTTTGGGAGAATAAACACAGTACTCCATACACAGTATGTAGAACAATTCACAATAGTGTTTGAGGAATAGAGTGAAGAAGTAAAATGGAGTCATTACAGACAAGCTGCTAAATTATTAAAATTAAGTAGGTGAGGCACCAGACAACAATTACTCTTGTTCTGACTGACGCTGGGAACTTAAAAGTTTTGAACTTCCCAGTCCTGCGTCAATACCTGGATGGGCACCAGTGCATTGTGCGTTAATGCCTGGCCATGCATCAAACCTTCAGTTAACCATTTGAATGACCTCAAGAAGAAACTGCCATTGTCTAGACCTGTGGTCGGCAAACTCATTAGTCAACAGAGCCAAATATCAACAGTACAATGATTGAAATTTCTTTTGAGAGCCACATTTTTTAATCTTAAACTATATAGGTAGGTACAGTTATTAACTTAGTTAGGGTACATGGTATTTTGTAGAAGAGCCACACTCAAGGGGCCAAAGAGCCGCATGTGGCTCGCAAGCCGTGGTTTGCCGACCACTGGTCTAGACCACCAGACATCAGACAACCATCATCCTGGACCAATCCCGGGGCAAAGAGTGCAGACCTGGATGTATTGTTTACATTAAGAGCCCCCAGCTTGCCGAAACTGGTTTGGCTCAATGGATAGAGCATCAGCCTGTGGACTGAAAGGTCCCAGGTTCGATTCCAGTCAAGGGCATGTACATTGGTTGCGGGCACATCCCCGGTGGGGGGTGTGCAGGAGGCAGCTGGTCGATGTTTCTCTCTCATCGATATTTCTAACTCTCTGTCCTTCTCTCTTCCTCTCTGTAAAAAAATCAATAAAATATATTTTAATAAAAGAACCCCCAGCTTTTCTTTCTCCTTTGGAACACGCTGGGTATTGCCTAGTTGTGTTTCCAGTCTGGGGGAAAAAAAAAAAAGTTTTGTGCATGGAGTATTGGGGAAAACCCTCAGGGACTTAATCCATCTGAATTGAGTAAATCGGTGTCATTTATATCCACCCAAAGCTAGACTGACTTTTTTGGGGTCAGTTAACAGAGTTCATTAACTAGTACTGAAGCCCCTGCCACAATGCCTGGTAGGAATTCAATAACTGATATCGATGACTATTTCAAGGAGCCCTGTGGACGCCTGACCTTTGCTCTTATCTACCCCGAGCCCTGTGTGTCTTGGTTCAAAGACTGGCAGAGCTTTGTTCTCAGGCCTCTTAACCACTCTCTGCCCTTTAGTTCCCTGGGATGTGAGAGAACCGGGTAAGCCCCATGCTGGCACTCGAGCATTCTCCAAGGGATGGAGGGATACCCTGCAGCTCACTCCTTCTCAGGGAATAAATGCCCCACGCACAGACCTGCTGCGGATAGGAGAGTGGACCTGTCCTCTTAAAGGGAAGGTGCTATTTTAATGGGCTCAATGTGATAGGAAAGAACGTATTGCTGTTGAGGCAGTGGAGGAGGCTGGCGCGAGCTTGGAGCCTGGGCTGGCTTTGGAGCAGGCAGGGCTAAGTATGAGCTCTGGGCTGGCTCTGGGGCAAGGTGGGTAAGGCAGTGCCCGCTCCTCAGCACTCTGCCTTCACCACTTTCTCTTCTGAGCTCTGGCTTGGATGCACCCGGAGAACTTGTGCTTTCCCGATGTACTCTGGGAGAAGGGGAGACACAGCAGGCAGGAGAGGAAGGAGGGGCCGGGCCCTACCTGGGAGCTGCCCAGGAGACTCAGGTGGGCCCCCCTCCCCACAAGGCCCGGAGCTGAGGTGCGAGAGCAGAGGGAGATGCACCAGGGCCAGTCAACCCAGCTTCTGCTCTGGGCTCTGCGGTGACTAGGAGGCGCTCGAAGCCTCACTGCACCAGGGGAACCAATATCAGTGAAGGGCCTCCTCTGTGCAGATCCTCCGCCAGCCACCCGGGACCCTTCGCAGTCCAGTGGGGGGGGGGGGGCGAGTATAGTTCATGGAGACACCTGCCTTTTCCCCCCTCCCATGCCCACTCCCCTCCCCTGCCTTGGTCTCAGGCACCAGAGTGACTGTCACAGCCTCTTCCCTCATTCCCCCAACCCCCCTGCCCCCAAGATTCCCCATGATCCCTAGAGCCTGGCAATAGGCACTAAATGAGTTTCCGTTGAGTGAGTGAGTGAGTGAGTGAGTGAGTGAGTGAGTGAGTGAGTGAATGGGTGAAATGAGCAGCCTCCTCAGGCAGAGACCTATCTCCCAGGAGCCTCAAGTCCCCCAAAGAATCCAGCAAGGGTGGGCGCAGTGAGCTACAGGGATCTGCCGTGTAGAATCTTACCTGGTGTCTCGCTTTTTGGTAGAGGCGGTGTCTTTGACTTCATCGGGGACAGGCTATAACCAACACAGAGGAAAAGAGGTCTGGCAAGGTCAGAATGGACCGCGCCATAGCAGGGCAGCGGGTGGGCGAGGAGGTGAGGAAGGTGCTCCAGGAAGAGGCAGGAGCCAGTCCTCCCTGAGAACCAACAAGCACCACCCAAGCAAGACCCCTGTTGCCTGTTGTGGCCACAGGGACCCAAAGCCCTCCTGTCTCTTGTTTCCTCGCAGACAGGAAGCCTTCCCCTGGGAGCAGAGGGGATGAGAGCTTGCTTCCCTGATGAAGTATTTACAAGCATGAATAACGCTCTTGTATTATATCGACTTTGCACTCCGGTAAGCCTTTTTATGTACCTGATGTACTTTTCCTCCTTACCCTCGGGGAGAGGGGCTTTTGGGAGGTAAAACTGAGGTTCAGAGATGGGATTGTCTTGACCAAGGTCACAGTGAAGCCTGCCTCTCTCCTGGGCCTCCCCTGGCCCCCTGGAGTGGCAAAGAAAACCACCTGCGGAGCCAAAGCGAGCGCCCACACCTGTAACAAACCTAAGTGGGCACAAGCCCCCCACGCTCCAACCACCCCGGAACTCAGCATCCCCTGACTTCCATTCCTGGCACTTCTCACCCTCTCTCCGAGTATAGCACATGGAGACACCTGCCTTTCCCCCCCTCCCACACCCACTCCCCTCCCCTGCCTTGGTCTCAGGAAGTTCACCAAATCCTGTTCACCCAGCAGTGCTCTCCAAGTACCATCAGGAATACTTGGGTGGTGTTACCCACACACAGCCCCTGGGTGCCCCCACCCCCACCCCACCCGTGTGTCAGTCTCTAGGAATTTTCGCTCGTCACAAGCTCCCCTGTGGATCTGAGACTGCTGGGCGTGTCAGGAGGCGAGCCGACCGCCCAGGTGACTCTGGGTCATTCAATTCTTTCTGAGCCTCCGTTTCCTCTGGGTAGAATGGAGGTCAGAGGGCCTCCACGGGTGGTTGTGTGGATGAGAAATAGGCAGCGCAGCAGTGATGCCCGGGAGATACAGTGGGTGTTCACTACTGCAGGTTCCCGTGCTGACAGGCCCTCCTCACCTGCTTTGTGAGGCCTCTCTTACCCTCCTTTCCCCCAACGTGGAATTGACTTCTCTCTCTCCAGCCACCCAGGGTGCTTAATACCGACATAAAGGCCCTGCCACCTGCCTGGGTTAGTATTCCTGCTCTACCGTGCCTTCTCAGAGAGCTTCGGAGGGCTGGCTGCGACTCCTCCAGCCCTGTGACCTAAGACCCCCTCAAGCTCCCCACGGCTGGCAGCTGAGTCTGGCCTGGCAGAGGGGGCCTCTGAGCAGCAAAGAGAGCCCGGAGGGTTCCATGGCGGGGGCTGGCCTCTTCCTCCAGGACAGACTGTCCGCCCGGCTCCGGCCAGTGCCAGGCTCCCTTCTTGGCACCCCGCTAGCCTCACCGGGAGGGACAGGAGCTGGACAGGAGGGGGCAGTTCTGGGAACAGAGGGTCAGGAGGGAGGGGGAGGCCCACCTGTAGTTTGGCTGTTGCGTCTCTGGAGGTGGTTCCTGGACGTCCTGGAGCTGGCTTAGCAGTTTTTCTGTCGGGATGGAGTCTAGGCCCTGGGGAAGGAGCTGAGCCACTGCTGTCTGCAGGAGCCCCAGCGCCAATGCTTTCTCTGTAAGCACAGGGAGCAGAGTCCTCAGGGGCGTGATAACAGCCCCTCCTGTCGCTACACAGGACATGCAGGGAGCAGGGCCTCCGGCTCTTCTGCCCACCCCTGGCCCAAGGCAGCTTTCGCAGCCGGCTCGTGTTCTGCTCACAGGGCCCCACGGGCAGGCCCTCCTCCCTGCACCCTGAGTGTGCTGTGCGCCCAGCCCTTCTGCACCTTCCTCATGTGTATTGTGTGATCCTGGCCTACCTGCCCACAACACCACTTGGCCCACTCTGGGAACCCTACAGGGGACCTGCCCCCTCCATTCCCCTTCCCTCTCCCCATCAGGAAGCCTTCTCCAATCTCTGGCTCTCATCACTCCTCACCCTCCCTTTTAGGCATACCCTCTGTTCCCTGTCCCATAGATGTCCATTCCTATGTTCACGTTCATGTGTGTTCCTATGTGCGTGTATTTGCATCTGTGTGTGTGTGTGTGTGTGTGTGTGTGTGTGTGTGTGTTTCCCACGGTGGTGGGTGAAGGGGGCTGTGTCTGCTAAGTCCGGGCTTCGGACTCGCCCTCCCGGGTGCCGAGGTCCGCAGTCAGTGGGGAGGAGGGATCCCCGCTAAGGAACAGGACCATGGAAATCCTGCTGAGGAACGGGAGGAGGGAGCAGCGAAGTGAGCTGGGAAGAGCTAGCGTGGGGCTCCGGCAGAAGGCAGGGTGGGAGCCGCGTGACCTCTGAGTCCTGCCGAAGCCGAGGGCCAGGCCCTCAGTAGCCTCCCCTCGGAGGAGGCCCCAGGCCTGGGGCTGTGCCTCACCCTTGGGAGGAGAGTAGAGGAGCCAGAACTGGATAGCACTCAATGAATCTGTCTGCAGGATCTGACAAAGGAGCTCCAAGATCTGTGGGCAGGAGGACAGGCCTGGGTCAGTGTGTGGACGGCACCTTCCGGCCGGCAGCACCGGTGCCTGCCCTGAAGCCGGCTCCCGGAGCCATGTGCTTGGCTGAACTGGTCCCCGCAGTGGTCCTTGCCCCCCTTCTGCGTGGGATTCGCTGGCTACAGAGGGCTGCCTCTCCCAAGGCCCTGGGGAAAGGCTCTCGGCCTCCTCACCGAGCAGGCGAACAGTCTGAGCTGTGAGAGAGGGGGCGCCCAGCAGGGAGACTGAGGCAGCCCTAGCCCTCAGAGTCTGATATGTGGGCCCTCATCTCTGAGCCCTGCCTGGGCGGGCCGTACCCCCGAGTCCCTCCCTGGGAAGGCCAAGTCAGAGCTGGACACTCAGCTCCTCAGAGACGCACCGAGTCCCAAACGCCCGAGTCCTTGGTGGGGGAATTTCAGGGTCCCCACGAGCCTCCCCACCCTGAAGTTCCTAAATTCAGAGTCTTGAGATGCGAGCAAAGAGGCGAGCTGCTCCCGGTGGGCGGCCCCAGGGCCGCGGCCAGCGGTTTTTGCAAACTGCACGGTTCGGAGCTCCTTCCCCGCTTTGCCCGCAGCCTTGTCCTCCGCCGCCGCCACGTCTGCTGCTTCAGGGCCCTTCCTCCTCTGCGCTCTCCAGGCCAGGATCATTCGGAAAAGATCCAGCTCTGTCTCGTATACGCTACGGGGGCTTTGTAGGCGGGGGCGCTGGTGGCCGCTGTGGCTACGGCTGGCTGGAGGTTGAGGCTGCGATGGGGGGTGGAGCAACCTGGCATCCTAGGAAAGTGGGGTTCCCTCTTTCAGGAGAGCCCGCCTGAACCAGTGGCAGTCAGAGGGGAAGGTGGGCTCACCTCTCCCCAGGACCCTTGCCCCCAGGTCCCCCCCATACGGTGACCCCAGCCCCACGGTTCTTCTCAATTCACCATTTCCAACTTACCTGCCCTCTGCACCCTCCCCAGGGGACCCGAGAACCTACTTCCAGGCAAGGTGAGGCCGCCCTACGGTGGAGAGAGTACTGTGTTCGAGTCCCAGCTACGCTGCTCGCTCTCTGGGGACCTGGGTCACAGAGTGGCACCTGGCAGGGCCTCAGCCTCCCCACCTGTGAAATGGGGATCCCGGGCCCTGTCTGCTCTGCTCACTTCACTGGGCTGACTGTTTTGAAAGCACTGGGCTCAGGGATGGTGTCAAGATGCTGGCTCATTGTCTGGCCTTGCCTGGAGAAGGTGTGTGCATTTTAACAGGGACTCTCTTTCTTTTTTTTTTTATCCTTACTCAAGGATATATTTCCATTGATTTTTAGAGAGAGAATGGAAGAGAGAGGAAAACATCAGTGAGAAACACATCGATTAGTTGCCTCCTGTATGAGACCCCACCAGGGCCTGCGCTGAGGAGGAGCCTGCAACCGAGCTACATGTCCTTGACTGGAATTGAACCCGGGACCCTTTGGTCTACAGGCCGATTCTCTATCCACTGAGGCAAACTGGCATCACAGGGACTTTACTGCCTTAACCCAATAGCACCATCGGGGACTCGCCTAAGACCTCGATGGGAGGCTTGAATGTGGAGGTGGGCGGCTTCATGCCTTGTCCCAGCACAGAGCAGACACCTCTCAGGGGAGACTGGGCTGGGACTGGCCTTGCAGGCTGCAGGGTGCCCCACCCCGGGGTGCGGTCAGAGGACACACTAGGTGGGACCTTCCTTTCCATGCAGCTCATCCCACCACTGCAGCTCCCTTCAGTAACGTGCCAAGTGCCAACGCTGGAACAGACTTGAGTGGTGACCTGTTTATGCTCCCAGTCTGACTGGATCATGGAACCAAAGGCCTTTGAGAAGAAAGGACTGGACACAGAGGACAAGGCTTCCTGGACGCATGAGGGATTCGAATCCAGGCTCCGGGCTCCCAGGGCTGTGGTTTCTGACAGTGAGTCTGACAGTCTCAGGTGCAAGTAGCCATGGTGGAGGCCACACTGTCCAACAGCTTGTAAGAGTCCTAGTTGGGCTCTGTATACCACCCTGTTCTCTGCCCGCAGACAGGGCCGCTCCAGGGCCCCAGCCCCCCCGCCTTCCCAGGGTCTCACCAGCAGCTCCGGATTCTGTAGGACGTAGGCCTGGACGCCATCTCTGCTTGAAGGGTGGCTCCCTCGGCCCTGGCGGGAGTGGCGGGTGCTAAGGGCTCGGGAGGAAGTAGGGATGAGCCTCCCAGTCTCTGCAGAGTACTTTGCACCCTGCTCCCGCTGAGGCACCTCCTCCTGGAAGAAAAGTGGTCAGAGACTTGGGAGGGAGGAGGTAAAGGGGGAGGGAAGAGAGAATTGATAGATGATAGATAGATGATAGAAAGATAGATAGATAGATAGATAGATAGATAGATAGATAGATAGATAGAACACAGAAGGAAGAGAAGAGACTAGAAGGAGGCTGGCTTACATCTCCAGGGTGCCCATCAGCTCCCCTCCCGGAACCTCAGCATCACAGCATTGCAGGGCCCCAGGACGTGGACCAGGCCAGCCCCACACTGTGCTAGACCCCTTTCCCCAGCAGGGGGCCCTTCCGTATAGCCAAAGCTCTTCCTCTTGGAACTTCATTGAGTGCTGGCCTCCTACTGCCTCCCCCGACTCCTTCTCACTCACCATGGTCCTGGGCAAGTCCTACTTCCTATCCCTCCTCCAAGCTCACCAGAGATTTAAAAACAGTATTCTATGCCAAGCCTCCCCCGTACCCCCTTCCGCCACACACACACACACACACACACACACACACACACACACACACACACACCTTAATTCCTAGCTCAGGTGCCCCCAGGTGTGTCTCACACAGCCCCAGGAAACCCTCCTAAGCCAGGCCAATGGGCACAAGGCCTGGGGCCTCTAGACCCTGCAACTTCAATTAAGACTGGTCGCATCCTCCTTCCCCTTTTAAAGAAGAGGAACCTGAGACCCAGACAGTTGCCAGAGAGCTGTGGTGAGTTAGCTGCAGAGCAGGGAGGGATGAGGACTCTGCTGCCCAGCACAAGTGCAGAATGAGACTCATCCACCAAAGGCCAGGCCTGTCCAAGAACCAATTGCTACTACCGTCAAGCTGCCTCCCAATTGTCTTTACTGGCCAGCAAAAAGCACCCACGAGGCCACCCCAATACTGTCTGAAAACCTGCAGTGACTCTCCATTTTTTATGAGATTCGACACTACACTAAGTTCAGAAGTTAGAGCAAGCTGGTCTTGCCCACATGCTAAGTCGGCCCCTTCCCACCTGCTCCTCCACTGCTGCCCACTGGGCCCTGTACTGCAGCTCCTTGCTCTAGAGGGGTCCTGTGTTCCCTGCTTCTGAGCTTTTGCGCTGCGTGCCTCCACTAGGATGCCTCCCCCGTCCACCTCTGAACTAGGATCCCTTCTTGGATTTCTCCACTGGGGTGTGATCTCTTGGAGTCCTCACTGCGCCCCTTGGGTTGGTACTTGTTGGCCCCTCCTCCTCAGTGCGGACAGCGGCACCTCACTGAGCACTTGCTCTCCTGCGGGTCCGTGTGTCCGGACTTGGGAAAGATTTTCGTACAAAGGGATGGCTCCATTTCATCTCTTCCCAGAGAGCTCCTTTGCTCCGCACCCACCTCTTTGTTCTTCGGCTCTTTCTCCTTGGTGTAGATGACCACCTGGGAAGCCAGGTTCTTCAACTCCTTCTTCCAGGCCTCTGGGGGGAGGGACAAGTCCCTGGCACCTGCTGTCTGGGCCCCTCCTCCTCGCCCTCCCTGGGGCACCAGGTGTTGGGGATGCTGCGGGGGGGGGGGGGGGGGGGCTCCTTTCCTCCCAGCCTTCCATCTGCACCTTAAAGGGGAGGGGAGCTGGTGCCCTTGGGGAAGGATTAGGAATCACACCATTGGTGGGTGGGAGGGTGGGTGTGGAGGAAGCCCTTAATGTCCTAGCCTGTGATTGTATGGGAGACATGGGAACTTATTTGGTTATTTGTGCCAAAATACAAGTGTTTAATCTAGCTTTGCCTCTTTTAAGAAACTGAAGCCAAGATGGAGATTCAGTTGATATGCAGTACCAATAACTAAAATGTGGAACTGCTCCTGCAGAGGGCGGTACAGAGCACGGAGCAAGCCTTCCAAACCTCTGCCCTGCAGGCTGTCCCAACAGAAAGGGCACAGCCTGAGGAGCGGAGGCCTCAGAGTGCTGTGTATGGCCACCGGTTCTAATGGCTGGTGCCTGATACAAGTACTAATTATTTCCAGTAACATTCCTCGCAGTGTTTCCCAGTGTGGTACGTGTACCCCCAGGGGTACTGGAAGAGTTTGGCGAGGGTACACGTTGCACTGAAGTTTGGTGGGGATATGCACTGCACCATGCTTAGCTGCGCCTAATTCTACGTTTTCATGAGTACGAGGGGGTACTCAGCGTTACGAAAATTATAGAAGGGGTACACATATGTCAAAAATTTGGGAAACACTGCTCTACAGGCTGAAGTCACATGACTTGCCCCAATCTGCTTGTTCTCTGCTTGTGGTTAACTCCTCAAACACCTCAAATCCAAGCACATTTCTGAGATCTCAGGGGGTGGAAACTAATACAGATGCCAAAGCCGGGGAAGTGGGGTACCTGACCAGATCTCACGTCCTTCTCAGGCACCCACCCAAGCAGGACAGCCCATGGAGAGAGGGTAACCCCAAGGTAGAGGGTCTGGTTCCAGTACCCACCTGAAGAAAGCCGGGGGTCCCGATTGGACTGTGGGTCTCCAATGGGGACAAAGAGGGTAGGCATCTTCATCAGAGAGGGGGAGAGGGGTGGAGTTTGAGGCAAGGAAGCCAGAGAGAGTTTGTCCTTGACGACGCAGACAGGTTTCCCCATGAAATCTGTGAGGGAACAGAGGCTGTGGGAAGGGGTGGCTGGGTGGACCCCAATAGCTCCAGGAGGCTGGGCAGGTAGAGCACTGGCCCCCCTTTTTCCAGTATCCAGAGCCTGTAGATCATTAGAGCGTGCAGCCACCCAGACCTTATCCCCTGGGGCTCAGGCTCACGCAGCAAGTCGGGCCCCTGCGACCCTCGTCCTGAGGTCCTTTTGGCTTTCCATGACAGCAATGACTGCAGGTGTGAGCAGAGAGAGGTAAGCAGCCTCAAGAGGGATTTCTGGGTGTGGGGAGGGACCTGGGCTCACACCACAGGGAGTGAGGTTCAGCTAGACTCCCTGGATGAAACGTCTCGCCATCTGTCAGCCTGTGCAGGCCGAGTACCGGGCAGATTGGAGGTGGTGGCAGACAGTTTACACATGAGGACCCTTTGGCCTAAGGTCTGTGTGATATCATCATTACTACTAGACAGTTTGCTCTGAGGACCAGCCTGAATAGGACAGAATGGCTGCTCACTATCTCCTTCCCCAAACACTTTCCTTTTGGACTCCTCACTGTCCTGATTTGTCCTAGCTCACCAGCGACTCCTCATTTCCTATGCTGCATACTCCTCCTCACAGCCTCTGAGCCTTGGGGTCCCTGGGACTCTGTCCCCAGGTTCTTGTTTCTTGTATTTACACAGTGTCCTGGATGATCCCATCAAGGCCCACTTCAAACACCATCCACTCCTGAATCCTCTCATGTTTGCATTTCTCCCCTGAACTCCAGACCAACTGCCCCCTCTGTGCCTCCAACCTGGGTGTCTAAAAGGATCTCACATTTTGCATCTCTCTGTCCTAGACCAAATTCTTGACTGGTCTCCTATCCTCCACTGGTCCCTTCTGAAGTCTCTTTGTCCCAGTTTTCCAGTTACTCCCGCCCTAAACCCAGGAGTCAACATTGATCCCCCTCTTCCTCTCATCCTCTATTTCTAATCAATCAGCAAATCCTGTTGGCTTTACCTTCTGCGTATCTCTGGAGCCGGCCCACTAACTCTTCCACCAAAACCTCCTGGTCCAAGCCACCACCCAGACAGAGGCCGCTCCTGATACTTGTTTGCTCTCAGCTCTCCAGTGGTTCTCATCTGACTGAGTGAGATGGCTTAGTGGCCTCCAGGGCCCACATGACCTGGGCCCCCACTGCCTCTGCTGCATCTCCTTTCTCTCCTTACTCGGCTCCAGCCACATTGGCCTCCTTGCTGCTGGGCCTTTGTACTTGCTGTTCCCTCGGCCCAGGACGTCCTCCCTCCAACCCCCATATATTCATGCTCTCTCTTCTTTTAGTTCTTTGCTCAAAAGTCATGCTTCTTAGTCATGTCTTCCCTCTGTAGCCTTGGCACATCCCACGATCTGACACTTCATTGATTTCCTATTCTTTCCCACCAGAGAGTCGGCTCCATGAGGACAGGGATTGTCTTGGTCACTGTCATATTCCCAGAGTCCAAAAAAGTGACTGACTCAGGCACAGTTCACCCTCAGTAGATACTTGAGGGGGGAAATGGCCTGTGTTTGCGAACTGAGTGCAGCTCTGAGGCAGAACATTCATTCCTTTCTCTGATTTGTAAGGCAGGAGGACCGGCAGCAAGGGAAATCCTGTAGGGACATGTAGCTTGCCCTTGGAGCCTGCCCCCCAAGGCAACTCTTGACTTGGCCAAGTGCTTGCAAGTGGCGAAGCAGCTCTGTGACCCTGGCTAAGTCCCCTTTGTCTCTGGGCCTCACCCTAGAAATGGAGGCTGGATCCTCCCTTTCAAGGTTTTAGGAGTGCCCCTCCTCCACTGCCCACCAGGCCCTGGCCTACCCCAACCCTACCTTTGATGTGGGTCACACGATGGGGGTGAGGGTGATGCCGGGAGAAAAAGGAGTTGTGGCTGAGGCGGCCGAAGCGATAGGTGCCAGGAATTTCGGGCTTGACGGTCCTCAATTTCTCGTAGACCACCTTGAAATCCACGACCCCTGGGACCACAGGTCCTCTCTGTGGCCCTTCGACCCCTTGGCTTCTTGGCTTGTGCTCTGACTTCTCAGCCTTTGGCTCAGCCTTTGGACTGAAGAAGAAGGTCAAGGAGAAGCTAATGAGGCCTCCTGGCAATGGTGTCTGCCCCAGCTCAGGGCTTCTCAGAGTCCATTCCTGAGATACTCTGAAATGTGGTTTCCATGGTTTCTCTGCCACCCCCTGGCCTCCAAGCTGGGCCTCCCCTAGGGTCTCCTCCCGATTGGGACAATCCAGTCCCAAGGAGGCTTCTGTCTTCCTCGGGTGCCTTAATAGGGAGCTGGGATCCATCTGAGAAAACTCAGATAGAATTCCCCAGGACCCCAGCTTTCTTTCACAGACCATCTCTGCAGCCAGAAAGAGAAGCTATAGACCACCAGTCATCCAAATGCCTGGATTGGAGCGAAGACACATTATATACACCTCCAGAGCCAGAGGGCTGGCCCCAGCAAGGGCCTCTCCCCAAGCCAAACTCTTGGCTGCCCAGGAGAAGCCAGCTCCAGGCTGTCACCCTCCCCCACGCCATCAGGGGCAGTTTTGGCCCAGACACAGCATTGCAGGTCAAAGCTGTCCCCGAGGCCAGATTACACCAGCAAGCCTGTTCCCCATGGGGCCCTCCCAGGAGACGCCCAGCTGATGCGGCAGCTCTCAGAGCTACAACGCTGCCGGGAAGCTTCAAGCTCTTGCTTTGCTTCACTGGAGACAATCCGTCTCAGATTCTCTGTCCTCCACCCTGCACCCCTTCCCTCTTGAGGATGCTGCGCTTCTGCCCCTGGAGGAAGAGGTCGAAGTCCGTCCAGCAAGGATCCAACGGTGGGCTGGTGCTTGGTGCCTGGCTTTCCCTTCTCCCGGTGACCCTGGCTGGAGGGATCCCCTCTGTGGTACAGACGGACTCTGGATATGCTAAGAAAGGTGTTCTGGGCCCTCTGAGGATCTCGCTGATCAGGCCCCCGAGTTTCCCGTTCCATCCTTGGTTCGCCTCTAAGAGATCTGGGACTTAAAGAAATAAAGCAAACCTTCTCTGAAAGTCACAGTTAGCTGGTCTCCCCAAACCCAACTATCAGAGAAAGTCACTACCTGAAAATCCCTGGAATTTCTGTGCTCAGTGCTCCTGGCCCCTGCCAGCACATCCTCTCCCCATCCAGAGAGGATTCCTGCCTGAGACCTGTGGTACCTCAGGCCTGAGATTCCAATCGGGACCTAGCTGATGGCAGTGGAAGGTGAGGAAAGACTGCCTTTCTTGGACTCCCAGTCTGTTGAGTTCCCTTGAGGCCCCCTTTGTCCCTACCACCTCCTTGGTAATAGGGTAGGCATTTGGGACCTCACCTCGCCAGGGGTTGTTCAGCTGGTTGGATCTTCACCTCCACAGACATTGTAGGTTTCTAAGAGAAAAAAGATCCATGTTGAAGATGTATCAGAACATCCTATAGACTGGCAGTGGGAATATAAATTGGAACAGACACTTTGGGAGAAAAGCATCAGCAATATCTTGCAAAATGGAACATTAGTCAAACTAACATGGTTCAGATTAGTAAAAACTGGGGACAATCCAAATGTCCAATGGCAGAAGAGTGCATAAGCAAGCTGTGGTTCATTCTGACAATGAGCATTACATTGTAATTGAAATGGATGAGCCACAGCTACACACAGTTACATGGATGCGTCTTGCAACTTTAACGCTAAGATGAGGAAAGCAAGTGGTAAAAGACCATGTAGCCTGAGATCCTTATAAAAAATAAAGTTCAAAAGCAAGTAAAAGTATCATAAATATGTGAAACAAAGACAAGCAAGGAAATGTTAAATAGCTGATGGCTATTTCTGAGAGCAGGTAGGGAGGGGAGAGTGAGGAGAACACATAAGATGTGTTAGTGGTGATATCCTCGTTCTTGGTTTGGGAGGTGCACTTATGAGTGTCCATTATAGTATTAAATAAACTAATTGGCATGGATGAAAGGTGACAGGTGTCAATGCCAAGAATGGTGATTGATCTAAATCTATGGACCTAAATGTATATACATATTCATATAACCCGTAACCCAAATGGAGGGGGTGGGGGAAGGTTCAGGTGTCAGGATTGGAGTTAGAAAAGGAAACAGTGCACTTTGAGAATTAACCCCCATAATGACAGGATCTGCAAGGGACCCCAGAGACCCCTGCAGGGACTGCTCTTGTCAAGTTCAGATGGAGGAGGATGTCATATTGCCTGAGATCTGGGAAGGGGAGAGACCTTGAGGCAAGAAACCAGGCAATCTGACTCAGGCTCCTGATCTTTTCTCTAAAAAGAAAAAAAGAAAAAACAAACAGCCCAGCCAGTGTGACTCTGGTTGGGAAGTCACAGTTTGACTCCTGGTCAGGGCACATGCCCAGGTTGCAGGCTGAATCCTTCATAGGGGGCAGGCAGGAGACAGCCTATCAATGAATCTCCTCATCAATGTGTTTCCATCTCTCTCTCCTTTTCTCTTCCTCTCTCTGAAATCAACCATTAAAAAAACAAAAAACACCCCACAGAAACAAAACAAATAAAAACAAAACAAAAAACATACCAAAAAACACACGAAAACACACACACACACACACACACACACAAAACAAACAAACAAACAAACAAAACACACACGCACAAAAAAACAAAACAACAACAACCAAAAAAAACCAGAATAACAACAACAGCAGAAAAAGGGAAACAGCTGAAACTGGTTTGGCTCAATGGATAGAGCATCGGCCTGTGGACTGAAAGGTCCTGGGTTTGATTCCGGTCAAGGGCATGTACCTTGGTTGCAGGCACATCCCCAATAGGGGGTGTGCAAGATGCAGTTGATCGATGATTCTCTCTCATTGATGTTTCTAACTCTCTATCCCTCTCTCTTCCTCTCTGTGAAAAATCAATAAAATATATTTAAAAAAGAAAAAGGGAAACAGTTGGCAGAGCTTCCTTTGAAGGAAGCTTTGGACAGGGGGCGGTGGGGCATGGGGGCTGCGCTCTAGAGCACTGAGAGGCTGCAGGGGGAGAGCAGGGCATCTGGAAGCCCCCAATGCACCTGCCAGCAGGGAAAGGTAGTCGGTAAAACAGAGACTTCCAAGTGTTCCTGACTGTGACCGTGGTAAGACAACTTAATTTTTACATCACCACTCCACGTACATGTGCACGTGCTTGTGTGTACGTGAAACGGAAGCAACCCTTACCCTGCTACATAGGATGCTCATTGATATTTTTATCCTACTTGTTTGCTTCTTGTAAATGTTAGGCGTGATCCATTAAACCAATTTTATAAGACCCTAAAGGGTCACACCCCCAACTGTAGAGAGATTCCTCCTGCCTTTTCCCTCACTCCCCTCCTCTCTGGGTCCCCAGCCAGTCAGGCACAAGGAGTCTGAACACTCATTTCAATCCTAGACAGAACTCCCTTTCCCCTGGGCTCCAGACAGGCTTAAGTCCATTTCCTCCCCTGGAAAGACCCCTGGACTCACCGAGGCAAACACTTATTATAGCATGTGGGAGAGAAGCCCCTGTTCCCTGAGCAGGAAGGAGCAAGAGGACAAAGGGGAAGTTTGGGGTTCGGTGGACAAGACTGTTTGCTGTGTGACTGCATAAGGCAGTGGTTGCTAGGTTACCCCCTCCCCACAGCTCCAGAACCACTCCCCAGCACCCCTCTCCTCTGCCCCACCCAGCTGGCTCCTCCTACCCACTGAAGACCCACTCTCCCTCCAAGCTCCCTCTCCACCTCCTATTCAGTGCTTTCAATGGGGACCAAAGGAGAGAATGAGAGGCAGGGGCTGGTTTCAGCCAGCAACCAGCAGGCAGAGAGGGGAAAACTGGCAGAGAGAGTGAGTTTGTCAGGCTGGGGCCCAGCTTTGTCATTCTGACCGGCCCAATGTCACCATGAGAATCTCTGCCTCTCTGCATCCCGTTTCTGGGGATTGATGTCCCTTAGATGGAGAGACTTGACCCAGAGTATCCCTCTTCCATGCTTCTGGGACTCCTGCTGACTGTTATGATAAATGACAACATGTTTGAAAGAAGAGAGGGCTTTCTTCCCTTCTGACCAGCCTCTCCCTGTTGCTTTGCACTCACTTGGGGAGCCCCCACACCCAGCTGACACAGCTGGGACACAATGTACTTGATATCTCCAAGCCTCAATTTCTGGATCTCTGAAATGCAAGTAGTCGTTTGACAGAGATGATGCTGGGACCGTGAGAACAACACCAAATGTTAGACGGGTGGGGTCAGATCAGCCCTCGGTTCAGCAACCTAGGTACTTGAGTCCTGGTAAAGAAAGAATTCAGAGCCAAGACTCAAACTATAAGAGGAGGTTTATTTAGAAAGTCACAGAGGTAAAAAGAAGTGAGTGGCAGAAGAAATGAGCTTAGGAGAAAGAGAGAGGCAAAGAAAATAGACTGAGGGGAAGGGGCGGGGAAAGGCACTGAAAGAGCCACACTGGGTCCTCAGCCAGTGTGTTTATCTGGAGGTCTCAGGGGAGAATCCATTAGAATATTCATCAGCTTTCCAGGTGCGTCCTTCTAGGGCTGTGGTCTCCACTGATGGGTCAGTACCAGGGCAGGGGGTCATTAGTCAATGCAGCTGGCCCTGAGGTCAGCCATGGTTGCTTGTTTGGTTTTGCTGCTTTTCTGAGCCTGGAGCTGAAAAACATCCGAGGCCTTGACGTTTTTGATGTGAGTCAGAATTTCATCATTGTCCTGGGGCTTCATGCTTAAGAGCTATTCTCTCATCCTCTTGTGGTCGCCCCTCCCCGCCCCAAGGAGGTCTAACCCGCATGACTAGCAATGTGCCCGGGAAGGAAGTCGGGGAAATGAGGGAAGGGTCCCAACTGCATGACCAGCGATATGAAAGGTCAGGAGGTCTAACTCCCATGACCAAGAGGGAGTAAAGGTTAGCCCGGGGGTGAGGTCCTTGTTTTCCCAGTTTTGACATTTTCTAGGCGCCCGGGGCTTTCCTCCCTGGTGACTTTCCGCCCTGGTGACTTTCAAGGCTCATTGTCCTTGCTCTGCTCATGTCTGTCTATCTGCCTACCACAGAGAGAAATCCCTAACTTTCACATAGCCCCATTTATTAATTTCGTCCTTAAAGATTAGTGCTGTTTGTATCCTATTTTAAATATCTTTGCCCACCCACGGTTCTCCTATTCTTTTTTAGAAGATTTATTGTTTTACCTCTTACATTTAGGTATCAATCTGGGTTTGATTTTAGTGTATGATGTAAGATAGGGGTCAAGAGCCATATTTCTTTTTCATAAAAATATCCTTTTGGTCCAATACCATTATTAAAAACATGGTTCATATCCTGTTTTTCTGCAGTATCATCCCTATCGAAATTCAGGTGTCCCTATAGCCACGGGCCTGTTTTTGGACTCTCTGCTTCCCATTGCTCTTTGTTTACCACCCCACTAATGCTACAGTCTCTTAATAACTGTCTTGTAAAATACAGCCTGCTATCTAACGCTTTGTCAGGAGGAAATTCATTTTCTCCCCCACTCTCTGACACCAAATATATAGGAGTTTTTCCCACATCCAGAAGTTCTCCATCTCAGCAGACACCAGCTGGTTTGTTCTACAAGTTTAACTCAATTCTGATACTACCTAGAAATAGCATAATGATTAGACCCCTCAGGCAAAGGGCCCATCCCGCTAGACAGCCCCCATTTCAAGCACCAGTTGTAGGTTCAGGTTGTTACCTGTATTTCTCACTGACCAGTTATAAAATGGGTTCCCATAATCACTTCCTTGGACTTGATAACATGCTAGAATGGCTCACAAAGTTCAGGGAGACAGTTGCTTATGTTTGCCAGGTTATTAGAAAGGCTGTTATTAAGGATACAGATGAAAAGTCAGATGAAAAGGTACATAGGGCAAGGTTCCAGAAAGATCCTGAGCGCTGGAGTTCTGTCCCTGTGGCACGGAGGGGCGCCCCTCTCCCAGCACGTGGAAGCATTCACCAATATTGTCGTCTCTCAGTAACTGTCATTTTAAATACATCTGGAGGCTCTCCAAACCCCGTACCGTGGGTTTTTATGGAGGCTTTATTACATAGATGATGGATTAAACCATTGGCCATAGGTGATTGATTCAACCCCCAAAGTTTATAGGAGATAAATGCTACCTTTGTTTCGCATTATTTGCATTTCTTTAGTGAGTGAGGTTGAACATCTTTTCATATATTTAACTGCTGTTTGTATATATTTCTTATGATCTCTTTCTATATCTTTTGTCTATTTTTCTATTTGCTGGTTAGTCCTTATATGGGCATATGAATTATATATTAGGTCAACCTTTTATAATATGAGTAATACAAAGGTTGTTTTGTTTTTTTTTCTCCTTGTTTTTCCTTTGACTTTGTCTATGCTTTGAACTCAAGTTT